ATTCATCTGAGCTTAAGTAGAGGCTAGTTAGCCAACTAGCTATGCTAGCTAATAATAATAACAACAACCGGTGATGCAGAGAAAAGTCATTTTTAAACATTAATGCAGCAAAAAAGCTCCAAATCACACGCACGTTAACATATTTTATGTAAACAAAACTCGTCTCAAATAAACCAACAATCTATAGAGATTTATATAAATTAATGTTTTTACAAATATAACGTTAAATGAACGATGCCTATCAACATTTTGCGGATGTGCTGCCCTACTGTGTTATTTTAGTATCATTGAGAAACTATAATAATTTTATATAATAAATAATAGTGAAATTTGTTTTGCATTTTAGTTAAAGCTGTAATAATTTTGTCATTTTTAATATTTTCAGTTTTTTATGTTTACAGTTTTTATTCATTTTCATAGATTGTATTAGTCCATCAAGTTAAATTAAAAGCTTGCTGAAGTAAAATGAAAAAAAAAAATCCATTTAATGTGTTTATTTTATTTAAAGTAATGAGAAATGTTTTTAAACCTGTTTTAGTTATCTCTATTACAACCATGCTACCCAAATATGTAGTTGATTGATAGTTAAAGTGGGCAAGCATCACTGTTGCTTACCAATGCGTATGATGGGTATATTGATTAGGTAAGAAAGTATTTTATCCAATCTAAATAGATGCTCTTTAATTCTGTCCCAGAATTCCTTGACTTTCATATTATGGGTGGTGTAAAGCAAGAGCAAACTGATGCTCCTGCATCTAAAGACCCTCACCACACTGACTCGGCACAGGAGGAAGTAAGATCATCATATATCACAGAATACTTCAAATATGTAATTGAGTTATTGTAAAAGGTTTTGTGGTCAACCACACTCATATATGTCTTATACATTCTTTCCAAATTTGATTCATATCTATTTGAGTTGATTTATTACAGAACCAATCGACTTCACAGCCAGTAAAGAAGCGAGGTTGGCCAAAAGGGAAAAAGAGAAAGAAGGTTTTACCAAATGGACCCAAGGCTCCGGTTACCGGTTACGTACGTTTCCTGAATGAGAGACGCGAACACATCCGAGCCCTTCACCCGGATCTTCCCTTCCCGGAAATCACCAAGAGACTCGGGGCAGAATGGAGCCGCCTGGTTCCTCATGATAAGCAGGTATTATTATTATATATATTTTGAGAATTGACTGCCAAATTGTTTCTATTTAAGCTGAAATATCATCCTTCTGATGAAACGGAACTATTTTGTTTACAGCGCTACCTAGATGAAGCCGAAAGGGACAAAATGCAGTATGCACGAGAACTCAGGGAGTATCAGAAAAGTGAAGCTTATCAGATCACATGTGCAAAAGTTCAAGACAAGAGAATAAAGAGAGGTAAAAATGCTTCTTTTTTTGTTTGTCTTTTTTGTGAAGTATGCTATAATTGACAATTAAAAATCAAATATTAGTTTTATAGCGAAGCATTTTCCTATTTTTATTTTTACAGAAGAGGTGGCTTCAGTCATTATCAATGCCAACAGTTCAGGGTCAACTGGTTTTAAGGTAAGTGTACAAACAAAGCCTGAATTCTTAAATGTTTCCACCACATTCCTGAAGTACACTGAGCAAAATTATAAACGCATCACTTTTGTTTTTCCCCCCATTTTTCATGAGCTGAACTCAAAGATCTAAGACTTATTCTATGTACACAAAAACTGAAACCCAGTCAGTGTCTGTTGTGACCACCATTTGCCACATCTGTGGCATTGTGCTGTGTGATGAAACTTAACATTTTAGAGAAACCTTTTATTTTGGCCAGCCTAAGGCACACCTGTGCAACAATCATGCTGTCTAATTAGCATCTTGAAATGCCACACCTGTGAGGTGGATGGATTATCTCAGCAAAGGAGAAGTGCTCACTAACATAGATTTAGACAGATTTGTGAACAATTTTTTAGAGAAATAGGCCTTTTGTGTACAGAAAAAGTCTTAGATCTTTGAGTTCAACTCATGAAATATGGGGGCAAAAACAAAAGTGTTGCGTTTACAATTTTGTTCAGTGTAGATACTTGGAAAACGTCGACGTTGTTCATGCAACCTGGCTAATGAAACGGTTTCCTTCAGAACTCGGACTTTCCAACCAGATTTGACGTCCCTATTTTCACAGAAGAATTTCTGGACCAAAACAAAGGTAAGTTTGGGTTTTTATGTTTTTTAAACCATAAACATCCACGTGGAAAGCTGTTTTCTTAAAATTACGCAATTCCCAGCCCGAGAAGCCGAGCTGCGACGACTGCGCAAGGCTAACGTGGAGTTCGAAGAGCAGAATGCAGTTCTCCAGAAGCACATTGCCGACATGTTCAGCGCTAAAGAGCGACTGGAAGCCGAGCTGGGCCAGGATGAGCTTCGCACACAGGCTCTACAGCGCCACCTACAGGCGATCAAACAGACACTGGTCAGCAGCCTGGCCACTGTGCCCTTGCCAGGTTAGTACAATATAGTGCCCGTCATACTAGCACCATGATAGAGGATTGCAATGGGAAACAAGTTTGTTTTTCCTTTAGGCACGGGCGAGACGCCATCGATTGGAACGCTGGACTCGTACCTGAGTCGCTTGAGTAGTGCATTAGAGAGCAGGCCTCATGAGCATCGCGGCTTAGTCCTCAAGCTACAAGAGCTCTTAGCTCACCTAGACAGGTAACTGTTGTGCAATATTATGTACTATAAGACCATTGGTGGACAAAGTACATAAATTAAGTACTTGAGTAAAAGTACAGATACCCTAATAAAATCCTAATAAAACCCTAGTAAAAGTACTTTTTTTTTTTTCTAAGTAAAAAGTACTAATCAATGAACCAATGTTTAATATTTATTCTATTCAAGCACTTGGCAATAATTAAAATTAGTGCATACATTTAATATTTATTGACCTGCAAATAAGTAAAGGTTTTTATTTTGTTACCAAAACTTGTCAAAAACTATCAAAAAATGTAACTTCAGTAGGCTTTTTCCTATGATGATTTGCATGGATTATGGGAGTAGCTTCTGTTAAACTGTAAACAATCAGTGAAAGGTTTGCTCCATGAACACAATAAGCAATTTTCTTAAAAATTCGGTACAATGAGATGATCTCATACTCGACCTTCAACCATTCAACATTGAAATGAATGCCAAAACCTCTATATATTTCAGCAGCGACATTACGGACTTCTTAAATATAACTGTAGTAATATGTCTGTATCAGACTTTGTAACATACAGTATGTTGCCTTAATCAAAAATGTTCATTAACTGGAATATAATGAGTGACAGTGATTCAAAGTGATTTACGTCATTGTCACAGGCAATAAATATTATATTTACCTGCTTTTAGGAACATTCCAAACACTGCTTATAATAGTCTCCCCTTTTCACTTCTAATCTGTGTGAAAACAAACATGGAAAGATGCATTCCAGTGATTGATTAATGGGATATATGGTACAGACCATCAATGCACAGTAGGCCTATGTGTTGCCTTTTTTCATACTGTTACAGCGAAATACAGATAAAAAAGAAAATAATCAGGAGGGAAAGAATACAGCTTCTGAAAAGAGCTCTTCTTATGAAATCACATACAGTGCCCTCCACTGATATTTGCAGTACATGTAGCGAAGGAAAAATACAGTCCACCACTGCATAAGATCATACTATGGTAGTCATCTTTTTTCTTAATTTTCTTCCAGTGAGAAGCTTTGAAAGGTGGGATTTAGCGGTTCTACGTCGGGCTGACCAAAGTATTCGGAAGGCCTGGAACCCCCTCGAACGTCTCTGCCTCACAAGGTGTAACAAGGACCATACGGTTTAATTGGATATTTTGACAATTAAGGCTAGCTTGACCGATAAGCTGGATTCTAAACTTATGTCATCAATCACCTAATACATCCTATTATTGCTGTTTTGACAATACAGCAGCTCATGGGAAGACTAATTCCAGAAACCATGGATTAAAGGCATGCTACCATTGTCTTTACTTAGATATTAATGAAATGTAAATTGTTGCGTTTTTTACATTCGTTGACCTCTGAAGCCTTACTGCACAGCGCTGTGGATTGCAAGAAGCTTTTGAGAATTTCTGCACCATGATTTTTACTCTAAACATTGAGTAACATGCTTTAGACTTGATTAAAATTTCTAAGTAATGTTGATTTTTGGTTGTATTCCCTTTTGAACATTAATCAGTCGGCATTGCGAGGGGTGATGAATTCTAGCATTAAAATATTTCATGTGTCAGAGTTTACACTGCTTTGGTGATGTACTTGAATTGCATTTTTTGTCAGTTTGAATTATTTTAATATTGGGTCGGGAAACTTGTGGTGAAAAAAAAAGATAATAAAATCTGGTAAGAATGGCTTTACTTACTTTTAAATTATTCCATTATTCTTCTGTGGTTGAACCCATATCCAGTAGAGGGTGACATTGACCACCATGACATAAAGAAACCGATAGTCTAAAGTAAAAGTGTGTGTGTGTTGTAAATTACATTAAATGAAATTAGGAAAAGTCATAAAGGAGATAATGCTATGGACGGATCGCCTCAGTCACCATTCACTTTCGCATAATCTTTTTCAATAAAAGTTAATGGAGACTGGACCGTCGTTCACCGTTCATTTGTGTTTCACAGAATAAAGTCAGTCATACGAGTTTGGAACAACATGGCGGTGAGTAAATGATGACAAATATATATATATATATATATATATATATATATATATATATATATATGATTTTTTTGGGTGGACTATCCCTTTTAGTTAGTTTTTGACCTATTAATAACGGACATTGGAGTTTCTTGGACCCAAAAGCCGTTTTGTCTGACTTATTTCCATTAAAACAATATTTCTGTAATCTGACCATTAAAAAGGCACTTTTTCCATCCACGCTTCGGCTGTCTAGGAGGGAGAGGCGTCCTCGTGCGTTGCTGCTGTCACTGCTCTCGTGCACAGGCACAGCTCGGGCCGTGACGTCACGGTAGTAGCTATCCTCGCGGCGGCGGTGCTGAACTGAACAAGATGGCTGTGCGGCGCGTTACGAGCGGCGGAAAAAAACAGCGCTAACATTCACTCACAGCCCGGATAACAGCGGTCTATATCGAGAGGGTGGTTAAAAAACGCCCTCGAATTGAATTATCCGAAGGATTCGGAGTAGTAGCTGCTGTTATTTTTATATATTGTGGGGTAGAGTTTGATAACAAGAAGGGGAGGTTTCTCAACATAAAAATCTAATAAATCGTTTTTAAGAACAGTTTTAATATCCAAGCTAACTCAAAAGGCGCGGATAATAATAAATAAAGAAATGTCACTGCTGTGTGTTGGAGGTAAGTGCATTGTTTCATATATGGATGCATTAATACCAGCTGTCGGTTATGCGTTATATACATTGGTTGTATATCTTTAGACATATTAAGGGTTAAAAAATGATAATGTATTTGAAAAGCACTGTCTTTTAACAGATAATACTGCATTTAATTAAATGCATAGTTTTTAGGCGCGTTTTTACCTGCTTTCGAGAATTAATACTCTGATCAAGGATCAATGATCGGTTAAATATTCTTCTTCAGTGGAGTTTAATATTATTATTGGTTTGTATTCATGCAGCAGAAGCTGAACTGTGGGTTACTGTGAAATATCAGGTAGAAGGAGTGTATCCTCTGTGCAATGCCTCTTTTTAGTATTTTAGCTTAATAACTTACTCCTCTATCGCTTTATTTAGGCTACAAGTATTTATTTATTGTATAAAATGTGCGGTTTGATTCTAGAAATGCACAGGTATATCAGTACATTGAATCCGCCCGTGTTATAAATGCAGCCAGTATTCAGGGGGGTGTTCCCTTGATATTCCAAACGCTTTTTCTCCCCTGCTCAGATGGGATCTACTTTGATGTATGATACATCTATTTTTAACCGTGTTTACTGTACGGGCGTAAAATGGCTTTGCAGTTTAAAGAGTTCATGGCAGATGGCAACATTACAGGTGTATTTTATTTTATTTTTTTAATTTTGTAATTTCATTATTTTACATAAGCATGCTTACAGATAAATTGCTAAAAAAATTCGAAACATTTTAAATCATTATATGTTCTAAATCGATACATGGAAAGATATATACATCAGAGGCCAGTTTGTGGATTGAGGGACAGACCAGGGACCCCCTATTGTGTAAAATTAAATTATCCAGTTTTGGCCTGGCCTGTAATAATAATATAATACAATTTTATAGTAAATTTTTTTTTTTAGCAAATGCATTAAAATAATCACTATTGGTGTACAGAATCATTTTTTTTAATATTTAATTTCATTTTATTTTAAATGGCATTAATCTTGTATTAGTGCTGTCATATCGATTTATGGCGATTAATCACATCTAACATAAACGTTTTTGTTTATATAATGTGTGTGTATACATATGCATACACTCACCTAAAGGATTATTAGGAACAGCATACTAATACTGTGTTTGACCCCCTTTCGCATTCAGAACTTTCTTAATTCTACGTGGCATTGATTCAACAAGGTGCTGAAAGCATTTTTTAGAAATGTTGGCCCATATTGACAGGATAGCATCTTGCAGTTGATGGAGATTTGTGGAATGAACATTCAGGGCACGAAGCTCCCGTTCCACCACATCCCAAAGATGCTCTATTGGGTTGAGATCTGGTGACTGTGGGGGCCATTTTAGTACAGTGAACTCATTGTCATGTTCAAGAAACCAATTTGAAATGATTCGAGCTTTGTGACAAGGTGCATTAACCTGCTGGAAATAGCCATCAGAGGATGGGTACATGGTGGCCATAAAGGGATGGACATGGTCAGAAACAATGCTCAGGTAGGCCTTAGCATTTAAACGATTCCCAATTGGCACTAAGGGGCCTAAAGTGTGCCAAGAAAACATCCCCCACACAATTACACCAACACCACCAGCCTGCACAGTGGTAACAAGGCATGATGGATCCATCTTCTCATTCTGTTTATGCCAAATTCTGACTCTACCATCTGAATGTCTCAACAGAAATCGAGACTCATCAGACCAGGTAACATTTTTCCAGTCTTCAGCTGTCCAATTTTGGTGAGCTCTTGCAAATTGTAGCCTCTTTTTCCTATTTGTAGTGGAGATGAGTGGTACCCTGTGGGGTCTTCTGCTGTTGTAGCCCATCCGCCTCAAGGTTGTGTGTGTTGTGGCTTCACAAATGCTTTGCTGCATACCTCGGTTGTAACGAGTGGTTATTTCAGTCAAAGTTGCTCTTCTATCAGGTTGAATCAGTCGGCCCATTCTCCCCTGACCTCTAGCATGAACAAGGCATTTTCACCCACAGGACTGCCGCATACTGGATGTTTCTCACTTTTCACACCATTCTTTGTAAACCCTGGAAATGTTGTGTGTGAAAATCCCAGTAACTGAGCAGATTGTGAAATACTCAGACCTGTCTGGCACCGTCATGCCACGCTCAAAATTGCTTAAATCACCTTTCTTTCCCATTCTGACATTCAGTTTGGAGAGTTGAGGAGATTGTCTTGACCAGGACCACACCCCTAAATGCATTGAAGCAACTCAAAGATCTAAGACTTTTCCTATGTACACAAAAGCCCTATTTCTCTAAAAAAAAATCTGTGTTAGTGAGCACTTCTCCTTTGCCGAGATAACCCAACCACCTCACAGGTGTGGCATCTCAAGATGCTGATTAGACAGCATGATTATTGCACAGGTGTGCCTTAGCCTGGTCACAATAAAAGGCCACTCTAAAATGTGCAATTTTTGAAATGTGCAGACCCAATTCTAGTTTATTCTTAGCTCATGTTAATATTATGCTGACCAGTGTTATACAACCTAGATTTGAGATCGTTTTAGAGGTCCCAGTGTTTTGTCTAAGAGTATGAATAGAGAGGGACAGTGCAAATCTTTTGGCCAAATGTCTTTCACAGGCACTTATTGTTAGCCCTTTTGGTCTGCTATGTCCAATGGGCCACTTGCCCATGTTCGCGTGCCTTACTCAGTTCTTGATTGCCATTTAACGCAAGATGACATGCAAATCAGATTGGTCTGTTGTAGAAGATCTGTTGTAAGAGACTCAGAATTCTGAACGATATAAGCCATGTTTCTTTGAACACATCCCACACAGACATTCTGATCCATGGCACGTCTGCCACCACTCTGTAATTAAACAGGCAGCAGATTCACAACCAGCGTCCGAAAGTGACAGTGGGTGTGTGGGTGTGTGTCACACAGACAGGCATCATGCTTGGCGCCTGCCGCAGTAACCTGAGCAGATGTACTGTAAGGCTTGCCTAATTCCCCCTGGATGTGTTTTGAAGTTAAGTCTTGAATTTCTCTTGCATAACCATCTTTTCGCCACTTTTTCAGAGAATTTAAATGTGCCGTTTTTAAGCTGGGTTTAAAATGCCTGGTTTGTATCAAATAAGAATATTCTAGACTGTTGTTTAAAATCTGGAAATCATGACAGTATGGAATGAGTAGATTAAAAATATTTTCTTTTTTACAATTTACTCCATTGACTTTTCCATACAAACCATTAACTTTCACTGTATGGGAAGAAAACATCTTCATACATGTTCCTCAAGGAAAGAAAGATTTTTGGTTTGTGAAAGGACTCAAAGGTTGAGCAAATTATGAGATTTTCATTTCTTAGTGAACTCTGCCTTTAAAGGGCGGGGGCCACAGATCGTTTCATATTAATAATTTATTAGAACTGCCTATTTAACTTCCTAGATAAATTGTAGTTAACACGAACAACAGTTACCATGTATAATTTAGCACTGTTTCTCTGTGGTTTTCCCATTGGAAAATATTCATATGCAACGGCAAAATCATAGACCTTCACCTAATACAATATTTCTTTGCTACATAATTAGAAAATTTACATTGAATCTAGTGGTGTGAGGGTACGTTTTAACACTACAACAATGTACTAAAAATGGCAAAGTTTTTTCTTTGTCTTTCGCATATATTTCGCATTTTCGCATCATTTGGACAAAATTATCCAAATGATCCCATTCAAACAGATCCCCTAAAAACGTACTCGGTTTATAACGTAACCTCGGTTCTCTCTAGAAGAGGGGAAAACCTCTTTTCCACGAGATATTGAAGCCAAAAATGGTCCTTAATTTTGAATTAATGTAAAACGCGTTGCGGCCGCATGCAGACATAGGCAAGGCGTCTCGCATGCCTATTGGCTGTCCTGCGGCAACTGCAGCAGCCTATCTAGAGAGGCCCTTTGGTGATGGTTCACTCCCGCTGAAGTGGGAGTGGCCTAGCTCATAAATATAGCTCGATGGGCTAATAGAGAGCCTAAGTCCCGCCCCTCCGCTTCCGGCTCATGGGACCTTATTTCGGAAAAAATATGAATGGTAGTCAATGGCAAGAGACAACTTATCTTTTTATTCCGTCTGAACTGTGCCCTCAATTACACATATGATGTTTGTCAATTTAAACGTCGCAGTTTGTCATAAAACAGAAGAGTAACATTTAGTTTTATGTGAAAATCGCTCTATGAACTAAATCTCCCAGGAAACGAAACAACGAGTGAGATCCGCTGCTCGTGTGTGTGCAGTCTGGTACAAAACACTCAGGTATGACGGCGTAATGTTATGATTATAACGTAAGACTATAGAAACAATGACAGACAATAGCCTCAGTAAAGTTAGCTTCATTCATTGAGAGAAAATGTGCGCCTTTGGGGTTTGTAGTCTTTGTAATTACGTATTTTCACAGTCTTATACCTCAACGGTTTTACATCAAACTGTGACTTTCTTTACTTTAAAATGTATCTTTTTAATTGACAAACATCATATGTGTAATTCAGGGCACAATTCAAACGAGATCAAAATATTTGTTGTCTCTCGCCATTGACTACCATTCAATATTTTTCCAAAATAAGGTCCCATGGTGGTCAACCGGAAGGGGAGGGACTTAGGCTCTCTATACCACCGGTTTTTCATCGCCAAAGCGAACCAGAGCGTGTTGCAGGCACAGCAAGATACGCAGTACTCGTTCCCTCTTCTAGAGAGAACCGAGGTTACATTGGTAACCGAGTACGTTGTCAAATCTGATCAATGATCAAACCTTAATGAAAATAAAATGGAAAATATTTAAAAAATAAGACCTTTTATAATAATACTATAAAAGTATATAAATTACACTACAATAACATGTAACATATTGCATATATGCTTCTCTCCACAGAGAAAAACAGCTCTATTCCATCAAATTCCAGAATGTAGCCTATATGATTAGTTTTCAGATTGCTGGTGGATTGCTTTAAATGCCTACTTGGTAAATCCAAGCTTTTTCTTTGATGCATGTGTTAATATCATCCCTTTATGCCAAGCTTTTAGAGAAAAAAAAAAACCCTTCTATCAAATTTACCCTTAAGTTGTTATTTTTAGTGTCAGGATATAGCTCGCTCTGCCCATGCTCGGCTACACAGAGAGATTAATGGAGCGCGAGAGGAAGAGATAAAGAGGCAGCACACAACATGCATGCCAGCCACATGGCAAGAAATGGTGCGTGGGAGCATGAGAGAGGAAACCCTGGCAGAGATGGGGCAGAGGCAGCGGTGAATCGTGAGCGGGAACTTTGAGCAGAGGTTGCTCGAGTGGGGGTGGCCTGATTTGATATTTCTCGCAACCAACGTTTTGTCCAAATCCTCAATTGTCTGGTGTCATTACGATTATTTTACTGCTCCCAATCGCATCGGAGTCGCACCATCTCAAATCGTTTGATCAAATCGCGATGGCCAATGGCAAGCTTTACTAACCGCGATAATGTGTGGTCTCGCGGTCTTGACGAATCTTCTAGTGTGTGCAGTCAGAGGATTATAATGCTAAAAATTGCAATCACTTCATTATCTGTAGGGCACAGCTGTGTTCCAGCTGTATCAGTACAGTAGCCAATGAACTCGCTGCTCATCCTTCAAATACTTCTACAATACTTGCTCAGCATTTTCAGTAGCAGTTGCAGCGCAAAACCCTCCTCTTTCCCCAGCTCAATGCTCGTCAATGTAGGCATCTAATGTTACCGTCTAAACAGTTGTTTGTTGTTGTTTCTTCTTGTTGCCCCCTTGTGGATGAACTAATAAGGGCAAAATACAAGGTGCATGTGTGAGCTCAGCATACAGAGTGAGTGTGTGGTTAGAAAAATTGGGCTGCATACTTATATACTATGCTGATTATGGGTTTTAATTTTTCCTACCAAGAGTACTTGTAAAAACCCTTCTATTTTTAGATTAATTAGAATTGGAATCGTCTCAGCGGTTAAAAGTGTCAACCTGTAGTTTTTGAGGAAATGAGAAATTCTGCACTGGATTTAGAGAGGAACGCTGACTGTGAAGGATTACAGTGAAAGGCTCTGACTTATTTTAAGGTCCCCTTAACCCGAGGATGCTTCACACTGAATAGGGGGATATGAATTATGAATGGGGCCGTTGACGTCACTCGGCTTTGAAAAGGAGCTCAGTTGGAGAACAGGTTTTTTTTTTTTTCAGATTTCCCCTAAGCATAATTGACAGTGACTGCCTCCCTAGCCCTCACTGCAGTTTCATAACCACTCAAATTTTATGTAAGAAGAAATAATATAATCTGTTATAATCTGTAAGAAACTTGTTTATTGGAGAATTTTAGAAGGTTTTCAGGTTTATTTCTTTTTAACAACACTTACAATAAAGTACTGTGGTAGTACTAGAGCCAGACCGATATATCTATTATCAGCCGGCTGATATTATCGGCCGATATTAGGCATTTTCCATAATATCGGTATCGGCAGTTATAATGGCCGATAAATGAATATTTCAAAAATAAAATAAAAACGGATGAAACACGCTTCAATCATCTGTCCTTGGCCTGTTATATTGAAAATTTATATTTTACAACTTGCAGTATCATCAGTGGAAGACCGCTAACGTTAACATTAATGAGCTTGGAAACCACAATGAATGCCTAAATAAAGTAATGATTACTGTATTTATAGCTAGCATATCTCTAGTTACAGTCCCTGCATTGTAAAAAGTAAGTTATACTTGTGAGGAGTGAACATTTAGACATAGAGAAAAAGTATCAAACGTATCTTGTGCAGAAAAGTTAGCTTTTCTTTTACACGTGTGTGAAATCCAACAATATTTAATAAAAAAAAAAATATCGACCGATATATCGGATTTTAAAACCCAAAAATATTTGTATCGGTATCGGCCTTCAAAATCCTTTATCGGTCGGGCTTTAGGTAGTACCATGGTACAGTGATAGTGGTTCTTTGATATCAGGTAAACATAAATTCACCCTATATTGTGGAAATTGAATTATTATCATATTTATTTACCATGGTACCACTATGCAACATATCCACAAATCTAGTATTGATGCCAGAAAACATTGCAGTTCCATTGGACCATGTCCAAAAATGGTACATTTTGGAACTATTTTTTTCTTTTTTCGCCTGTTTAAACATTATAGTATTGGACCGTTTTCAATACTTTTTTTTTTGTTCAAACTGAAGCTGTGCAATTGCCACTCTCTCGCTGAAAGAAAATAAATTGCTGCAAACTGGATTCTAGGGCCTTGAGGAATTCCACTTGCACAAATGCAAATGTGCTGACATTGAATCTCAAATGCGCTGCCTGATATGTAAAGTGTGATTATTTTTAATAGCTATATTTTTCACTTATTTACAAACATGTCTCTCTCTCTCTATTACAGTGAAGAAAGCCAAGCTCGATGGACCACAAGGTATGCTTAAAGTCTCATTGTAACTAGCTTTCCACAGACATGTAACCTATCTGTTGTGTTTTTGCAATAAAATTTTATTTTCATGCAGAAAAATTCAACACCTACGTGTCACTGAAGGTTCAGAACGTGAAAAGCACCACTATAGCTGTGCGAGGCAGTCAGCCATGTTGGGAACAGGACTTCATGTTGTGAGTTCCACTTCTCTTTCTCTTAGCAGTAAAAAACAAAAGATAGCAAGTTAGCAAACATGCTAATGCAAATGTTTGGCCAATGCATTGAAAGCATAAGTTCCCATTGTACATACAGAGAGCCCTATTTTAACGATCTATGCGCAGTCTAAAGCGCATGGCGCAAGTGCACTTAGGGCATGTCCGAATCCACTTTTGCGAGTTTAACGACTCTCCCCGGGTCGACACACTAAAAGGGTCTATTCTCTTAACGTGCAAAAAAAAAACAATCAGAGTGTCTATATAGATTCCGTAATTTGCTAACGGAAAGACTGAACGTCTCCGGAGCGAAAACGGATCTGCTCGTGCGTGAGGTTAAAGCACGCAAGCCGGATTCCGTCATCTTTATTTACACAATATTTATCTTTTACATTTGAATCCTTTTATTTTTATTTGGTATGTTTGTGTACTGACTGCGCATCCCTGTGTGTGTAATAAGTAGAGTGTACTCGCGTTGTGGACCCGCCTATAGGCGCACATTACTAATGTGCTCTTTAAATAACAAAAAAATACTGCGTCATTGACTTTAGACCAGGTTTCAGTTGGTCAATGGCACAGTCTATTTCAATTACCTCAAAATAGCAACACGCCAACAATGCCTCTGAACACACCTCGTTTTCAGACAAATGGGTCTTGGATTGTTGGCACTTGCAAAACTTGCAAAAACACTTGGCGCTGCATTGCAGAGTTTTACCGTTTTCGAATCCATTCGGCAGATTTTCTGATATTTTGAAGAATATCACTAACCAGACAGTTTCTGGTCTCATTGACTTTCATACTATATTTTTTTCCTACTATGGAAGTCAATGAGACCAGACACTATGTGGTTACTGATATTCTTCTAAATATCAGAAAATCGGCTGAATGGATTCGAAAACGTAAAACTCAACTGTTTAACTCTGGGGGAGTTGTAAAATGAGCCTATTTCCAAAAAAAGTGGAGTATCCCTTTAATATGCTTGCCCTAGTGCTTTGTGGTCACTAACTTGCGTAGAGTGTGTTTTGAGGCTTATAAGATCCTTGATGTAGGGGTCTTACGTAATGGCATCCCTTAGGTAATGACAGTCAGGTGGTTTTACCCTCAAGGGCCCAGACGTTGCCTACCGCTGAATGCGATAAATCTTGTCTTATAAACTTAAGATAAAATGTGTTGTGATTGTCCTGGATGAGTAGATACAGTAAACTAGTAGACATAAAACATTTAAATAGTGGGGCTCACTAAGCAAAACAAAGCGATTTTTTGTGCTCCTGCTTAGCATTATGGATTAATTTGTCCTAAATTACTGATACCTGCAAAATTCTTGCCAATCTCCTCTTGAGTCATCTATAAGCCAGATCTGCTTCAGTAACTCTTTATTTCGCTATGCAATGTCTAATGTGGTGCCTCCATTGTCTCCAACATTAGCCCCTGTGGTCTTTGAGAGGGATTGGTTTTAAAGGAAAAAGTTGTGGCTATTATTAGGATTTGATGCTGCTTTTCAGCATTTTGAGAGTGTAGTCCTGTGGAGTGTGACTGGAGATGCCCAAGGCACAGATGGCGTTATTGTCTGTACCCTGTTTGGTTTTTCTTGCTATATTCTGTTTCTTTTTCCATTAATATTGTCCTCTGCTATTCTCTGGGTCTGGTTTTTCAGCATGTCTAATCTAAATGAAATAACTGAGTCATGCAGTTTCTCCACGGTATTTCAAAATAGTGCTTTTTGTGAATTTCATATAAGTAAGCAACTTTTGCCTTAGGGCTCTTTATTTTATGTGAGTTTGTTATTAACTGAAGATATATGAAACCTTCCTGACAGAGTTTAGTAGCAATATCCTCATACTATATATTAATTTCTCTGTCCTTCCCTCTTTTTTCTCAATTTTACCCATCACTCCATCTTCCAGTGAGATTAACAGGCTGGATCTGGGCCTGACAGTGGAGGTATGGAACAAAGGACTGATCTGGGACACCATGGTTGGCACATTGTGGATCCCTTTGCACAGCATTCGACAGTCGAATGAGGTACAGCCCAGATGGCCGGCCTGGCCCCCAACAGCTTGCAGCTTTTCTCACTCTCTGTAGAGCTATATGTAGAGATCTGAAGCTGATACCTGGCATTGATTCTCATTGCAATCATGTTGCAGAAACCATTGCCTGTATGACTCTGTGTTACTATTTGTTAAAATTTCTTACCAGCTAAAATGTATTAGATGAACCGGTGGAATTTGTTTCTGCAATGTTGGCATAAAATGTTCACTATCAAGGACAGTGTCCCTAGAGCAATCTGGGATTAAGTGGCTTGTTTAAGGTGATAGCAGTGATAAAGTTGCAAGGCTCAAACTTGCAACTTTAGCTAAGCAGGTAGAGTCATGTACCTCTCTAGTTGATCCAACCAAAGTCTCTGATAGCAGATATACCACTGTTTCTATTTCTATTGTATTGTAGGAAGGGCCAGGACAATGGTTGACTTTAGACTCCCAGGTCATTATGGCTGAAAATGAGATCTGCGGCACCAAAGATCCCACCTTTCATCGAGTGCTTTTGGATACACGGTTCGAACTCCCATTAGGTATCCTTGCTGTTTATTACTTTCTCCAATATTGTATTTGGTCACTGCTTGTCCTAAGTTTTGATGCTAACTTATGGTTTTCATACTTCCAGATATACCGGAGGAGGAAGCTCGATACTGGGCCAAGAAATTGGAGCAGCTCAATGCCATGAGGGACCAAGATGTGAGTCTTCTTATTCAACTCCAGTCTTGTTGTGTTTACAGTCCTCCCCAGAGCCCAAGGGCAGGACATGCATTAATTTGAGTCCGTCAGAGAAATGCCTGAGACCTGAACAGCATTTTTTGAACTACTGACCTAATTAAACAAAGACTTTGATCTGTTCAAACTGGCTTGCCAATAATTTCTGTTTGCTCATTTTGCAGTACACATACCAGGAGGAGCACGAGAGACCACTTCCAATGCCATCAACTCAATGCTGTGAGCTTTCAAGCGCAACTCACACTCACACTATAAATTACATGGCCCCTTGGTAGGTTAATGTGTACAGAACCTCATTAGAAGACCAATCACCCCATCAGCAGGTCCAATGTGAGTTTACTTTATCTCTGAGAACTTGATGGATGGCTTATTATCATGGTGCAGATTTCCTGGACCGTATTCAGCGATATCTGAAGCCTGTGTGGGATAAGGAAGAGTGGCTTTGGCTTGTGAACAGGCCATTTTTTATTACTTCACATCAGCGCTATTAACCATTAGCACTTAACGTGCACAGGCAAGGTTACTCTCATGCACTGTGCACTGCCATACCTAGTAATTTCACTACTCGAATTTAAAATAAGCTGCTTGTTCATGGTCAAACTGAGACCACAAAGATATATTTTCATCACAGATTATTTGGAAAACTTCTAATATTTTGCTTGACTTATTGTTTTCATAGGTAACTGGAGTCTATGGGGGGACCAACAAAGTAAGTAAGCTTTGTGAAATGTAAACTTACAGTATGTGTGATGGTTTTGTGGATCAACATCATTTTAGTCCTGGAACATTCCTATTAAAATGTCACATTTTAGGGTTAATCCACACAATTTACATTTAAAATCTGCACTTGCTCCTCAGATGATGATCCAGACAGTGCTGTGGATGATCGAGACAGTGATTACCGCAGCGAAACCAGCAACAGCATCCCACCTCCGTTCTACACCACTTCCCAGCCCAACGCATCCATGCACCAATACCCCATCCGAAACATGCACCATGGCTCCCGTTACAACGACACTAGCGACTACGACTATGATAACCAGAGAGCTATTAGGTACATTTTCCCAATTCTTGGGTGCAATATTATTGCTAATGCTCATTGGTAATAGCATTCACTTTCTCTGTACAACTTTCCTCTGTTCTTATCCCAATGCATTTATGACTGTATACAAGGATTGAATGAGTAGTCATTGTATACACTTCATGTGTTTGGAGCCACACTGGTGCCACTTTGTGATTTGAATGCAACATTTCCCCTCAATTTCTCGTTTCTTGCCCAGTTCACTTCAAAACGAGCTTTTATTTCCTGAACATTTTGTCTTACAAAAGTGCTATTCCCAACATTCATTCATTGCATGCTGGAGACTTTGTGCTCCAAGATTCTGGCCCTGTCCCAAATGGCACCTTCTCCAAATCAAGTTACCATTCAGACTGTTGGGTAATAGTCCCCTAAGAAGTCTTCACCAACAGCCCCAGAAAACTTAGAGCAGCCTTTCGGAAAACTAAAACAACAAATGGGCCCCCCAGCTTTGGGAGAGAAGGCCTTGAGACTGCAAATCAACATCAAGTGCGCCTATTGGGACAGGGCCTCTTTCGAAGCCTCTTGAATCCTTTATAAAGTCTTATTAATAAACAGATCCTGATCCTAAAGTGATGCTTTTGATATGAGTCTCTTAGCAGCTTGTTAAACATTGCCTCAAGTTGGGTCATTTTCCTTCCAATGTGGCCTGATGAGGTGAGATTAAAAATGAATAAAAAAGTCATTTCTCATGCTCCTCCTCTTCCTGCCTCCCCCATCCCCTTCCCTCCCACCAGACGCTATGATAGTTTAGACTCCGCCACCAACGGCCGCAGCGATCTCGATTCGGCTTCTGGCTCGAGCAGGCGGACCAGCCGCCAGTACTCCTTAGACAGTAGGCACTCACTCTCTGATAGGTGGGTCTCCATAGCTCCTACACCTCCACCCTCTTCCACCTCCTCCTGCTCTTCTTCCTGCTCCAGCCTGTGATACCGTCCCGCTGTGATGATGTCGTGGAATTGGACTTGTCTGGTCCTGTGGTCCTCGCTATGCTTGCCATGCATGCGCAACAATCCTTCTTTTACATACATGATCTATTGATATATTTTATCTATACCTCTTTGTATTCTTTGTCCTCTATCATGATTGCTGTGTACCTGTTAATGGCCTGTCACGTGTTATTAGGTTACTGACCCATACACTTCACAAGCTTTTTCTTGTGTCTTTTGTACCGTGTAATCGGAATTTGGTGCAATTTTGTGAAGTCTGTTATTTGGCTGCTTTATGCTTGACAGAGTTAGAGAATAACGCTGTAATTCCGAAAGTCTAGTGTGCGCTAATTACATAGCCTTTAGACACACTATGCTGTGTGTGGGCAGCAGGCGGGACCATGCTGATGGAATGTACATATCACTGATTTACCTTCTCTGCTTCTCCTGAACCAAAACTTACTGAAAGACAAAATGTGTTGTGTGAAATGAAGCAGTGTCTTGGGAATTTATTGGTTTGTGTGCTAGGGAGTTAGAAAAGGTGGCTAGGATATATGACTAACTGGCAGAAAGGCCTGACAGAAGCCTTGAATTTGTAATTGTGTGTGTGTCCCATGGCTCTTGTATTTCCTCCAGTCTGAAGCCCAGACGCTTTTTGGCTCACAGCCTATTACACACCTCATAACTTTCACTTCTGATTCTTCATGCATTTCTGAACGTCACGTCCCGAAATTGATAATGTGTGTTTGTGTGTGTGGCAAGTGCGTCTTTCCTTACTTATTCCATTCTCTCATTCTCTCTATACATAATTGGCTTATTCATCAGCGAGGATAAAAAGCCTTTCTTAACAGGAAAATGCTGCACCACCTTTTTGTGAGCTTGGTGTCTCTTTTCTTTTATGTATTGTTCTTTCTTATGTCCACCTGGACAAATTTGTCCACTGACAACTCTTCCCACTGTCGTCTTATCTTTTTTTGTGATTGTGAAATAGCTTTTTCTGAGTCCATAAGTTTATGTGAGCCTTATGTCAAATGAGCCTGTGGACTTAGTCTTGTTTTCTCTCACCACCTTACCTGCACTCATACATCCATCCAGCAAAAAATTATTTCCCTGCTGAAGAAAACACCTTAAACCAACCTGGTTTCAGCTGGTCTACCGACCTTACTTCTGGAAGACCAAGTGAGAGCAGAAAACCATCTTTGTCAGGTTTAAGCTGTTGTTTTCAGCAGGGAGAGTTCTAATATTAGCTGACAAGTGTCATTTTCCTCTGTTGTTGGTTGTTCCTGCCTCAAACTCTTTTTTTTACGGCCCTTAAACCTGTATATAAGCAGTCGCCCACCTTCTTTCTTCCATGACTTAATGTAACTTACAGTTCTTTACTCCCGCAGCCCCACCGGCAGTAGTCGCTATGCATCCTCGGGTGAGCTGAGCCGTGGTAGCTCCCAACTCAGTGAAGAGTTTGGCCCAGAGGATGGTGAGAGCTTCCGTGGTTCAGTAGAGTTCTACGACGAGAACGACTCCTACCATTCCTGCCATTCCTCCGTTAGCTATGGTAAAGACTCGCCCGTCTGGGACCCGGATGAGCCGCAGGGCATCTACAGTGATGATGGTGAGTACAACAAAGATGGCGGTGAAGAAGGTGCACTCTACGATGAAGAGGAAGGTGAGATCTACCAGCAGGAGGAAGGGGAGTACCCATATGAGGAGGAAGTGGAAGGAATGGTGTATGAAGTGGATGAAGACCTTTATCCATTGGATGGGACTCTCAGTGAAGAGCAGGAGCCACCCTACACCCCTACCCCAACCAGCACTGCCCCAACATTGGCTCCTGAGGTGACCAGCCGCCCACCCCTGGAGAAACAGGCTTCTGTGCAACAGCCCCCGCAATCCCAACCACCGTTTCAGACCATGGAGCCTAAACGAGATTCACCACCCCTACAACAGCCACTTGATGTCTTTGCCAAGGTACCTCGTACCTCAACCCCACCTCGGGTCTCAGAGTTTGAGCCAGAGACGGTCCCAATGCCTGTAGGCAAGCTGGCGGCTCATACAGAGGAGCCCTTGCTCACCCCAGCCACTGAGATCCCACCTGAACCAGAACAAGAGAAGGAGGCTCCTCCTGAGAGGTAAGCTGATTCCTTGAAAGCTTGGATAAGGTGTAGCCTTTCATGACATTTTGCTGGATACAAGTTAAATCTAATAATTTGACAATTTTTTTCCAGCACACCAAAGCTGGAGTCACCTGTGGACCCGGCAGTAAGGGCCAAAGCCAACTGGCTACGACTCTTCAATAGGGTTCGCCTTCAGCTGCAGGAGGTATGTCAAGTCTGAAGTTATGATTTGTTTGAGCAGCTTCTTCCAAGTACATAGAAATTCAGTAACCTTTTAAATCAAAGTTTGCCAGATTATGCCTATTCAGTTTGTTCTTTTGGCCAACATTGGGTCGCTAGTCTTTGGTTAGTTCTGCCCTTTGTTGTTGTCCTTTTTCTTGCCTGTCTTCTCCATTTCATGTTACTTTTTTGTCACTTACTTTTCAGTTTTACTGTTACGTGTGTTTATAAAACCTGTTTTCATTTTGAGATTTTGTACCCTTTTTGTGTTCCACCCCATTTGTTTGTGTTTTTGTGTGTTTTTTCTTTCAGTTTTTTGTCATTGCAATAGCGATTGTCATACTCTTCCCTGCTTTGCCGAAGTTGGACAAGCAGTCTGAAAGGTGGGTGTGGCAATGTGAGGGTCCGAAGTAAACGCATTTTTTGACCGGTGGCTATGGCGCGCTTTCTCTGAGATACTTATGGAGTTATGATAGAATAATGATGATTGAGATAAAGATGTCCGGCAAATCCGGTCTAATCATGAGAGAGGCCTGCAGCTGACGTCAATGAGATCGGCCGACTGCAGGCTCTTTCTGGGTCCAATCAAAACAGACAATGGTCTTTCTTCTGTAATACGAATTATATCTTTGAAATTACATTGTGAGGTCTGCATGGATATTGAAAAGAAAATGAATGTGGTTTACTGGATGAATTAAAAGGAGATATATGGAGCTCTGTCACTGATCCCTCTGTCACTCTCTGTTGTCCGCAGGCTCGAGGTGAGACTCCAGGACTTGCATCACTCTTTTTGCAAGCAGGGTGAGTGACTGCAGCTCTTTTTCAGAGCAGCTAAACATCTGAGCTTTTCAAACATCTAAACATTTACATATTGGAAAGTACCCGAAGCATTAGGAATCTCTATGGAAAATACTCTTTTTCAAAAGATTATCACTATTTTTTAAAGACCCCTATTTTTCAAATTGTCAATAATTTTAATAATAAACATATTTTTTAATGAAATACATTTGCCCGTTTGATATGCAGGCCTGGAGGTGCTCTCTACAGCATAGACAGCATGCCTGACCTACGTAAGAGGAAGGCCATCCCTCTCGTCCGAGACCTGGTGAGTCACACACCCCCGCTTTAGTACGTCAAAGTTTCAACATAAGTATTGCTGGACCCAACATCACCTTCCTAACTCTTCAAAAGCTTCATCTATGTATGTCAGCGTGATTATTTTGGGCAGCAGTCTGTCAAGGGTCTGTAGTCTCTATGGCACATCTGTTTGAATCACAACTACAGGGTTAGACATTATTAGAGCATTACTCAGCACCATTCTCCCTGTAGCCTGATGAATCTTCACCGGTCCAGTCAGCCTCACAACTGCCTCTATGTCTCCTTTACAGTCCCATTAATTTTGACTGACTTCATTCCCTGCTAACCTTGTTTCATGCCTGTAACCTACTTCGAGAGCTTGTTGAACCTTTCCACTTATAGTTGAAAAATGGTTGGGTGGCAGTAACATTAAACAACAGAGGCAACATGGAATCTAAATTGAACATTACTTTATTGATACATCATGCATAAGTTCTTCAGTGCATGTTATTCCAAAGAGAGAGAAAATAAAACATTTTTCACCAAAAGCGAAACTTACTTTGCCTCGGTAATGACGCGACTTAAAGGGACACTCCACTTTTTTTGGAAATAGGCTCAATTTACCACTCCCCCAGAGTTAAACAGTTGGGTTTTACCGTTTTCTAATGTATTCAGCCGATTTTTTTGATATTTAGAAGAATATCAGTAACCAGACAGTTTCTGGTCTCATTGACTTCCATAGTATATTTTTTTCCTACTATGGAAGTCAATGAGACCAGAAACTGTCTGGTTACTGATTTTCTTCTAAATATCAGATAATCGGCTGAATGGATTAGAAAACGGTAAAACTCAACGGTTTAACTCTGGGGGAGTGGTAAAATGAGTCTATTTACAAAAAAAGTGGAGCATCCCTTTATACAGCTAACAAAATATATTCATGTAGTGCCATTTAAAAAAAAATGTATGCAATGAAGTTAAGTTTTAACAAAATGCTCAAGAGTTGTGTTTCATTAGCGCATGTTAATTAACTTCACTTTTGACTTTCACTTTCTGCAAAACTTCTCATTAAACTGACAGGAGAGTTAGTTATGTATTGATTAAACAAAGTAACGAGAGCCAAAAAAAAATCGTTCGGTAGCTGACAGCTGTCGTGTAGGTCTGGCCGTACTTATTCAGCCAAGAACACTCCTGGCAGCCTTCACCGGAGGGCTGTCAGAACATCGACGGCACCAGACTCTCTTTGACGCCACGAACTGGAAGATGAGGGAGAAATTACCATGCTGTATGAAACAGCTCCGCAGTTTGTCGGTTTTAATACAGCTTACCGACTCTAAAAGTCAGAAGCCAAAGTGCTGACTTGATTAAAATTAAAAATGTGTGTCAAAAACAATTCATCTAGAAGACAAAGTACCCACCGCTCTTTCTTATTTCTCTCTGCTCTTTCTCATGCATAATTGTTGTACAAGACCTTTTCTTTTCGAGACTTCTTTACATAAATACTTTATTGTTGTGTTGAGTCAGTAGTTTTATAAAACTTATAACTAATTTAGCATCAATTATCGTCCTTTAAATCTTAATCAACCTTGGTTATGCAGTTTGTGACACATGTAATCAAATGAGATCTAATCAAACTTCTAAAAAAAATGTCTTTGATTATGTTTTTTTTCCCCAATACCTCATCTCCTGCAGGCAATGGTGAGTACTTCCCTTTTCAGCACTCTTGGGTAAAATACTTCAGTTCCAGCCATAAACACAGTTTTCTGTTTCATCATTTGTGACTTTCAGAATTTCAATCCAATATATATTTATTAAAAAAAACTAACTTGATTTTGAGCCCTACATGTTTTTTCTCTTGTAGTCCCTTGTCCAGAACTCTCGAAAAGCAGGCATCACTTCTGCAATGGCCTCCAGCACACTTAACAATGAAGAATTGGTATGTCAGCCGATTTTCGTCCTGGATATTCGCATTTTGCAGTTCATTTTCCATTTACCTGTTGATTTGTTCAATGATCTTGCAGAAGAGTCACGTCTATAAGAAGACCCTGCAGGCTTTGATCTACCCCATTTCCTGTACCACACCACATAACTTTGAGGTGTGGACAGCCACCACACCCACCTACTGCTATGAGTGCGAGGGGCTTCTGTGGGGCATCGCTCGACAGGGCATGCGCTGCACCGAGTGTGGGGTCAAGTGCCACGAGAAGTGTCAAGATTTACTCAACGCCGACTGTCTGCAGAGTAAGATCACTTATTGAGTTTCTTTCATTACTCTCAAATATTGTATTCGTCTAAATGTTAATAATGTTATGCTCACTAAGGCTGCAAAATATAGTAAAAACAGTTATTTGTCAAATATTATTACATTTTAAAATAACTGTTTTCTGTTTTAATTAGTGCTGGGCAACAATTAATCGCGATTAATCGCATTCTAAATAAAAGTTTGTGTTTACATAATAGATGTGTGTGTATTGCATATAATTACTTTGTATATATAAATGCACACACATGCATGTATATATATGTAAGCAATTTTTTTATTTATATATAAAATATTAATATTTATAAATAATATACATTTTGTACAAATATACATGCACATATTTCTTAAATATATACATGTATGTGTGTATTTATATATACAAAATAATTATATGCAGTTCACACACATGTATTATGCAAACACAAACTTTTATTTTGGGTGCGATTAATCGTGATTAATTGTTGCCCAGCACTAATTTTAATATATTTTTATATGTAATTTATTCATGTGATGCAAAGCTGAATTTTCAGCAACATCACTCCTGTTTACTGTAGCTGCTCTTTTCCATTACTCCAAATTGAAATTTAAAATTTAAAATACGCTTTCAAAAACTCTCATTTATCACAAAAAAAAAAGTTTTTACACTCTCATTAGGTGGTTTTTCAGGCAATTTTAAATTGTTATTTTGCAAAACTGCAATGGAAACAGGTGTCATTCTTCACGTGATCAATGCGTTTAAGTCACATAACATCGGTTCACGAAAACACATTTTCGTTGTCATTTTGCAATAGTTTTTAGTAAAATTTTAGAAACATTTAGAAAATATCCCAAAAGTTTTTTGAAAATCTGTAATGGAAACCAGGCTATTGTTAAAGTGTGACTTCAGAAATATTTGTAATATTTAGTTAAGTTAATATCAATTAATAATGGTTCTTATCAATGTTGAAAGCTTTATATTTTAACATTGGTGCTGATATGCTCATTTTGTTTATTTGGACATATTAAATAAACAGCATTTATTTAAAATAGAAGTCTTTTGTAACATATGTGAAGTCTTTTGTAACATTTTTTACTTACTCCATACCTTGAATAGTATTTTATCACGGTTTCCACAGAAATGTTAATCAGCACAACTGTGTTTACCATTGATAACTGTAGCAATGATCGATGTTATGGGAAGAAGGAGGCGGGAAACATTTAAATAAATGTAAACAAATCAATTTTATCTCTCCTCTGTGAGAGATTCGAGACCGTTGCACAAGGCAGGTGTCGCTCATCAGCAATCACGCAACCGGCCTCCCGCCATTCTCCCACGGCCCTCGGCCTCGCCCTCATCCTTCTCGCAACAATAATAATAAGAAAATATCCCTTAAGCAGCAAATAAGTGGAATAAGGATCATCTGACATTGAAGACTGAAGTAATGATGCTAAAATTCAGCTTTGTCATCACAGGAGTTAAAACAGATTCAAACAGAAAACTCTAAATTATAATAATATTTCTCAATATTGTTTTTTTTTTCAGTAGTTTTGATCAAGTAAGCGTAGCCTTGGTTAGCAAACGAGACCTCTTTCAAAAATCATGATTATTCCAAATTTATTGACTGGTAGTGGAAATATAAAAATATCCGTCTTCTGCAGGGGCGGCGGAGAAAAGCTCTAAGCATGGAGCTGAGGATCGCACGCAGAACATCATCATGGTGTTGAAAGACCGCATGAAGATCCGTGAACGGAACAAGCCTGAGATATTCGAGCTGATTCAGGAAGTGTTTGCAGTCATCAAGGCCACGCATGTGACGCATATGAAGCAGATCAAGCAAAGTGTCTTAGACGGGACGTCCAAGTGGTCGGCCAAGATCAGCATCACCGGTAATGACCCACTTCAACCAGCACAAGTTTGTTATATGTCATATTGGTTATCTTTGTATCAACCCTGTTTCTCTGCTCAGTGTTATGCGCCCAGGGCCTCCAGGCAAAGGACAAGACCGGCTCCAGCGACCCTTATGTTACGGTGCAAGTTGGCAAGACCAAAAAACGAACCAAGACTATCTACGGCAACCTCAACCCTGTATGGGATGAGAGCTTCAATTTGTAAGTGGATTATTTAGGCTATATCAAATAGATTTATGGAGAATCAGTGCTCATGGTGATACAAAAACATCTCAACAGTGAGTGTCACAACTCTTCCGATCGGATCAAAGTGCGTGTGTGGGACGAGGATGACGATATTAAGTCCAGAGTAAAGCAGAAGTTCAAACGTGAGTCTGACGACTTCCTCGGTCAGACCATCATCGAGGTACGAACTCTGAGCGGTGAAATGGACGTCTGGTACAACCTGGGTGAGTACCAAAGCAATATTTTACTGAAATACATTGATAAGGTAAATGTACATTGCGCTCAGGTCAAGCTGTAATGCAATACCTTTTGATAAAACAGTTTCAGAAGTTTCAAACTCCATTGTGTTCTCTTTCAGACAAGCGCACAGACAAGTCTGCTGTGTCGGGAGCCATTCGAATGCACATCAGTGTGGAGATCAAAGGAGAGGAAACCGTTGCTCCGTACCACGTCCAGTACACTTGCTTGCATGAGGTCAGTCTGATTCTGCCATGATCATGTTTGTCTACCTCATTTATTAACAAGCTACATAGTCCCTGCTAGAGTGTACAGCATGAACACCCTCTTTCCATCTTTCCATAGAACCTTTTCCACTATTTAACGGACATCCAGAACAACGGGGTGGTGAAGATACCAGATGCCAAGGGTGATGATGCATGGAAGGTCTACTTCGAAGAGACGCCCCAAGAAATAGTCGATGAGTTTGCCATGCGTTACGGAGTGGAGTCCATTTATCAAGCCATGACGTATGGTTGTCCCCGCAATTTTGGCATTGATGTTTGACTTGTTTGCTTAGGTACTTATGTACTTTTTGTACCTTCTTGTTTCTAGACACTTTGCCTGCTTGTCATCAAAGTACATGTGTCCTGGAGTGCCTGCGGTCATGAGCACCTTACTGGCCAACATCAATGCTTACTACGCTCACACAACCCAGGCCACCAACAATGTATCTGCCTCAGACCGTTTCGCTGCCTCCAACTTTGGGGTGAGTGTCACCACATAGCGAAAATGTCAGCATTAAAGTGTTTGCGCCAATGACTTGTGGTGGTTCCTTGTGTGTTTTCTGTAGAAAGAGCGATTTGTCAAACTTCTGGACCAGCTCCACAACTCCCTGAGGATTGACCTCTCTATGTACAGGGTATTGTGATTTTTGGGGGTTTTGTATGTTTTCTTGATTTTGTATTAAGAATCATTTTGTATGGCATTTCTAGCGAGTGAGATCCAATCGGACAAATGAGAATGATTAGTCTCTGAAGCGACCACATAAAGTAGTATCTAAAATGTATAAAGTATAGTATTGATGACACCCCTTCTTGTGTCTCTTAGAATAATTTCCCAGCTAGCAGTCCTGAGAGGCTACAGGACCTCAAGTCTACTGTGGACCTGCTGACCAGTATCACATTTTTCAGGATGAAGGTTAGTTGTGAATCCCTGGTGCTGTTGACAGTTTACATTTGGTCAAATATTGAAGCTCTATTTGATGCTTTGTGTCAACATATCATCCTAAAATTTGTGTAAAATATTTGTGATTATTTTTTAGAGTCTATGTTACACTATACAGTACAATTCTTGAAATTTTTCTTTTTCTTTTATATGAATTTCATATGACTTTATTTTTGTTTATAATTGTTGTATGATTTTATTTTCTGCATGTTTCTCTTTTTCTACGTTTTTTCTACAGTGTTCTTGTTCCGTAAGGTGTTCTTTTTTGATTTTCATACAATTTAGTTTGTTTTTATTTTTATTTTATTTTCAAGATGTTTTTAAGATTTTTCTTTTTTATATACAATTTGTATTTGATTTTCTTTTCTGTATGTTTTAGTGCTGTCAAATCGATTAATCGCGATTAATCGAATCAAGTAATCGCGATTAATCGAATCGATTAATCACGATTAATCGATTTGACAGCACAATTTTCAGGTTTTGTACAATATATTTTTGTACAGGTTTTTATCGTATGCGAGGTCTTTTAAGATTTTCATACAATTTTCTTTTTCGTGTGATTTCTGTATGATTTTCATACCACTCTCTTTTCAGTTTTTTGTGTGATCTTTCTTTTAAATGATTTTAAATTTACCTTCAATATGAAAGGTAGCTGAATTATCCACTTGAATGGACCATGAACCCTTCTTCTATAGGTCCAAGAGCTTCAGAGTCCTCCTCGTGCCAGCCAGGTAGTGAAGGACTGTGTGAAGGCTTGCCTCAACTCTACCTACGAATACATTTTCAACAACTGCCATGAACTGTATAGTCGAGAATACCAAACAGACCCGGTGAGTCGACACTCCCTGACCCAACAACCTTGATAAGCCACAAAGCTATTTGCCTCGGGAGAATCCAAGTCATTTTATCAGTGCAACTCATCTCGCAGCTTTTGTTTATGCTGCTTTGAAGCTGTTACAGACTCCCTTCATAAATATCAAACACTCTTCCTGTTGAATTAAACATCTCACCCTGGGCTACTTGCTATATTTTGCTGCAAAGCTTTGCAGGATTGTTCCATATCTTGTTCCCCTGGAGTAGTTGGCATATTTTTGCTTGTTTGCTTGCTGGCTGAAATAAGACATTCCTGTTGTGCGCTTAGTAGGGTGATTTCTTCCAGAGTTTGGCAGATTATGAAAATACATAATGTGCTTTGAGCTTTCATTAGATTTCAAAATGAATTCTTTTTGTGCAGAGCAAAAAAGGAGAGGTTCCTCCAGAGGAACAAGGTCCAAGTATCAAGAATTTGGACTTCTGGTCCAAGCTAATCACTCTCATTGTCTCAATTATTGAAGAGGACAAGAACTCCTACACCCCCTGCCTTAACCAGTGAGTCTGCCACCATGTTATTTCACAAAATCTCCCAAAGTACCTTCATAATCCTGTTTAGGATCTTAATGTCACTTGCTCCGGTCCACACAGGTTTCCCCAGGAGCTCAATGTCGGAAAGATCAGTGCAGAGGTTATGTGGAACCTGTTTGCCCAGGATATGAAGTATGCAATGGAAGGTGAGTCTAAGCCAAGGGACTTTTCTTCAGCTTTAATTTATTTACATGGCTCTTTACACAATACAGATTGTTTTAATGCAGCTTTACAGTCATAAACAGGAAAATAACAATCAATGATGCACACTTCATCAAATATGGGACAAATTCTAATTTACTTTGAGTCAGTTCAATGTTGATTCAGTTTAGTTCAATAAGTGAATCTAATTCGAAACTAATTCGTTTCAGCCATAAAGCAGCTATACAGAAGACAATGGTGTCTAGTTTTGTTCTCATCTGTTACTATCAGTGCAGTCAAATTGATAATATTACTAAATATTAAGTGTCCGGATTATTATCTTGTTTTTGAATGGATTGATGGTTCATTTTGTTGAGCTATATATCAATCCACAACCTCATGATATCTAATTAAAAAGTTTCAGCTCAGGCCTCGAATGATCATTACTTGACTAACAGATGAGATGCAATAAAAAAGTTGTTTTAGTTAGAAACTCAAGCATTGTGGGGTTTCTCACTGATAGCCACTTAAATTTCACACTTGGTGAAAAGTTGTCATGTGATGGAGTTCTTCTCATCTGCTGATTCAGTAGGGGTCCTCTACTCCGCATAGATGTATTATGTGCTGTTAAATCTTCTGTTTCATGAAGAGCTTTTGTCTTCACCTCACGGTTTTCAGAGCATGAAAAGAACCGCCTGTGCAAGAGTGCCGATTACATGAACCTGCACTTCAAAGTAAAGTGGCTTTACAATGAATACTGCAAAGACCTGCCTTTCTTCAAGAGCCGAGTGCCTGAATATCCTGCGTGAGTGGCATCTCACACACAAAAATGATGTCAGGCATGCTCAAAATGTCACTGTGACCATGGTATTATGGGTAATAAAGGTGGTGATGTTACTCTGCAGGTGGTTTGAGCCATTTGTCATCCAGTGGTTGGATGAGAATGAAGAGGTGTCTCGGGACTTCTTGCACGGAGCCCTGGAGCGTGACAAAAAAGATGGGGTGAGATTTATTTCTCTTGCCTTTTGGCTGCTAGTAGGGCTGTCAAACGATTAATCGCGATTAATCGCATCTAAAATAAAAGTTTGTGTTTACATAATATATGCGGGTGCACTGTGTATAATTATTTTGTATATATAAATGCACACACATGCTTGTATATATTTAAGAAATATATACTGTATATAGATTTATAAATAATTTATAGTATATATGAATATAAATATTTTATATATAAATAATATTTTTTTCTTAAATATACATGCATGTGTGTGTGTATTATATATATACAAAATAATTATACACAGTGCACCCGCATATATTATGTAAACACAAACTTTTATTTTGGATGTGATTAATCGTTTGACAGCCCTAGTTCCTAGCTTCAAGGCCATTCGATGCAGGTTCAAGAAATATCATAGTTTATAAATCAAGAAAATATCTATGCTTAACACACAAAATAATAATAAATATAGTTTTTTTTTTCATTATTGTTGTTGTTGTTATGAATAAAATTGATATCCCAAATTTTCAATGTGGTGTCAGACTATTTAGAGATTTAGAAATATGTAAAACCTTTAATGTAGCATTAATATTTCATTTTAAATATCGCTATTAAAATATAGTATATCAGAATAACAGATATATTTTTACAAATGTCTTTGAAATCTTTAACATACCAATTTTGACATTATTATTATCATAATCATCATCACCATTTAACCATTGTTTTTAGTATAAGTAAAGTATTACTTAGTAAAATAGTATTAAGTAAATTAAGTATTAATTAGTATTAAGTATTAAGTAAAATAATAATTATTATATATATATATATATATATATACACACACAAGAATTTTTATGTATTTGAGTATGCATATTTTTATACTAGACTAAAATACTAGTTATGTATTTTATGCATCTAACATAAAAATTTGTTAATATATATATATATATATATATATATATATATATATATATATGTGTGCACACATACAAACACATTGATATATATATATATATATATATATATATATATATATATAAACTTTTATGTTAGATGTGATTAATCGATTTGGTAATAGAAAAAAGTAAGAATTTCTGAGAATTTTTTATTTATTTTATAATTTACTGTAAACTTTTCTTTTTATTTAGCTGACCAGCTGTAATAAGTTACAGTTACTACAGACCTCTAGCCTGCAGCCAGACATGTCAAAATTTGATGAATGAGTGCCCTCGGAGAACCTCAGCCTGTTCCTGAACCAATAAGCACGCTCTTTAGTTCATTAGTTCCACCGAGCCCCCTTTGGGAACCTGTCACAGTCTCACCTCAACCCAATTATTTCCAGACGAAAGAGCTCACACCTGATGTCTAGTCGCAAATTGCTTGTGCGGTCTCTTACGCCTTTTATTCTAGAACTTTTTCTGACCGCACATCCAACTCTTTCTTTCCCACAGTATCAGCAAACTTCAGAGCACGCTCTCTTCTCCTGTTCAGTTGTGGATGTCTTCTCGCAGCTTAACCAGAGCTTCGAGATCATTAAGAAGCTGGAGTGCCCAGACCCACAGATTGTTGGACACTACATGAAGAGATTTGCAAAGGTCCTAAGCAGACACTTTTCCTTTTATTTTAGTACTTTTATTATCATTCCATTTACTTTCAAACTGACGTAACGTCAGTGAGTAAAAGTAGAGGTTACTTTGGTAACCAAAACTACTTTTGCCCTTAAACAAAATACATTTTTTATCACATCAAACAGTAACATAATTGTAAAATAAAATCAGAGCAGATTTTAAAACAATAGGGCTATTTCACAGAAAAGGCTTAAGTCTAGTCCCTGACAAAAATGCATATTTGAGCTGTTTTAACTGACATATCCTGACTGACATGTCTAACTAACAATTTTTCTAATTGAACTAAGGCCTAATCCTGGCTGTGAAACCGGGCCTAGACATCATACCTTTTCCGACTTTGTAAAGGGTTAAAGAGAAAAACTGGGCATCATACACTTAACACTGAGAATCACATACTACCAGACTTTTCAAGTCATTCTGAAATTGAAAAACTCGCACATTAACATGCGCCTTATTGCTCAGAGATGCATTACAGATGAAAACAATGTGTTCTCAAATCAACTAAAAATATCAAACATGTCGTATGACGGGATTTTCTTTGGACCTCAACTGACTAAAACCTGCAGACAGGCTTTGACTTTCGGCAACAAGTGACTGCAAATTGGGGCAAAAAAAGTCTTGTACGGTAGTGTATTCCAGTCTTTAGTGAATGTGATTTCACCAGGTACAACGTGGTCCTGGGTCAAAATCATTATTGATCCTGGAACAACATTCCAATCAACCAATCAGTTTATGTCAAGTTTAGGCTTGCAACCAGGTTTGGTGATTCTACATTAGAGTAATTCACCTATCATATCCTTCTGATTTTAGGGATAACTTATGGGTGGGGTTAGGTATAGGGGTAGGGATTAGGATTATGACTATGTTTATGTAAACAATATGTACTTGGCAAACTCAAATGACCCCAGTCTTTAGCAACGTTAATATCTGTAAAATAGTTCTGCATTGTAATACGATTTTTTATAACGTGATCTCTTTATCCCCCAGACCATTAGCAACGTTCTCCTCTCCTATGCGGACATTATCTCCAGGGATTACCCCAACCACTGCACCAAGGAGAAAGTGGTAATAGCCTAAAAAGCCCTGTAGAAATAGTTGTTTCATTCACAATCCAGAATTTAACCCATTCGGTTTGTGTTTCTCTTTCTTTGATTCTAGAATGCAAAGGATGGTGCTGTCAAGGTCTGTAAATCTGACATGGGTAGAATATGCCATGCAGTTTACAATAAAGAGTCTTTGTACTCTTTTTGTAGTGGTTTGAGTTAGTCTTCTTGATTTCAGGCATTCTAATTAGCATTTTTGCTCCACACAGCCATGTATCCTCATCAACAACATCCAGCAGCTTAGGGTACAGCTTGAGAAGATGTTTGAGGCCATGGGAGGTAAAGATGTAAGTGAACCACAAATCTGACGACATTAATTTAGCGAAGCATGGATTCGCGGAGACTTACAACCTTCTGAAAGCATGGTCAAGTTCTGGTGGTTTTGACCATTGCACCCAAAAATAAAAAAATATCCCAAAATTTATTCACCCTCAAGCCATCCTAGGTGTATATGACTTTCTTCTTAAAGCCAAACACCATCAGTTCTAGCTTTAAAATGGGAATGAATAGTAACTGAGATTTTGAAGCCCAAAAAAGCGCATCCACCGATCATAAAAGAATCCATACGGCTCCAGGGGGTTAATAAAGGCCTTCGAAGGCCTTTGAAGCCAAGCGATGCGTTTTTGTAAGAAAAACTTTATAAAATATAATCACTGCCTTCCAGTAATGGCAGTATCCGAGTCTAGTACGAACGTGGAACTGCAGAGGATTAAGCAAAGCAAAACACCGGTCACTAATTAAAAGTCTGAAACGAGAAGTTTTAAAGAGAAATGTTGGAGGATCTTGAGTTTGTTGCCCAGCGCTCTTAGTTTGAACCTGGAAAGGCGTCGACTCTCACCTGAGCTTACACTACTCCTACATCCTACGTCATGCGTCGGGTCAGAGGTCACTCTTCCGTGGGAACTACACTCGCCTTTACCTGAAGCCAGTTATTATATTTTATAATGTTATAAATACAGATATTTTTCTTACAAAAACACATCGCCTCACTTCAGAAGGCCTTTATTAACCCCCTGGATTACTTTTATGATGGATGGATGCACTTTTTTAGGGCCATTACCATTCATTCCAATTATAAAGGTTGGAAGAGCCAGGATATCTTTAATATAACTCTGACAATGTTTGGCTGTGAGAATAAAGTCATATCCGCCAAGGATGTCCTAAGGGTGATTTTTGGGTGGACTAACCCTTTAATGTCTCTTTCAGTTGAACGTTGAAGCTAGCGACATTTTGAAAGAACTCCAGGTGAAGCTCAACAATGTTTTGGATGACCTTGCGAGAATCTTTGCCACCAGGTGAGGTACCTAGGGATCAGGAAGAAATTGCTTTTTTGCTCTATTTTTGGAGTAACATCTGTTCCCCACCTTGTTCTCCCACTAGTTTCCAACCAAACATCGAAGAAAATGTCAAGCAGATGGGTGACATACTTAGCCAGGTGAAGGGGACAGGGAACGTGCCAGCAAGTGCTTGCAGCAGCGTTGCACAGGACGCAGACAACGTCCTCCAACCCATCATGGACTTCCTTGACAGCAAGTAAGATGCTAGTTTAGATTTAAGCCGCGTTTCCATCGCAGGAACTTTCCCCATTTGAGGTGGTACTCGGTGTGTTTACACCGCAAGAACTAGGGTCTAAATGAAGCCCCCCCCCACCAGAAAGTCCCTGCTGGCGAGGTAGTACTTTTTCAGAGTTCGGGAACTTTCAGGGTGGGACTTGTGCGCTGAACATGATGATTGGTTCTTACCACTTGTTCTTTCTGCCCGATGGCGCGCGTTCGTCCCATCCATCTCACGGTCAATGTCCGCTGATAACAAACGTCTACTTTTATATCTAGCATTACGAGCTTATTACGTGCTTTCAGTGCTAGTCTCTTTTCTGCCGTTTTGTTAATTACCTCGTTAAACCAATCGCACACAAAAGCAGTACAGCTTGAATCTCCTCCTTACAAAACTCAAAACGCACTCAAAACAAACGCGCAGACTGGGAGGAGCAGTCGCACGCAGTTCAACGTCACCGGACCGGTACTTAAACGCAGTCCGCGGTGTAAACGCAGTAAGCAAGCGGTCTGGGGCAAAAAAGGTTCCTAAGAAAAAATTGCGGTGGAAACGCGGCTTTAGATGTCTTCTTGAAAATTTCACACTTCCACTTCCAATCTAACCATTTTTTTCCTGTCAGCCTCACGCTGTTTGCTAAGATCTGCGAGAAGACAGTCTTGAAGCGAGTACTGAAGGAGCTTTGGAAGCTGGTCATGAACACAATGGAGAAGACGATTGTTCTGCCGCCTTTGACTGACCAAACGGTAATGAGTTGTTTAGAACTTAATTGAAAGCAGATTTCTGAGACATACTACATGTAGAAACCATTTTATATAACTACGAAGATTGTTTACAGCATTGTATTTTCTGGTGTGGATCATGAAGGCTCAGAAGGACTGGAAATGTATCTCCTCTTGCTCAAACAAAACATATCCCTTTCCCAAATCAAATCACCTTGGACGAAAGACACATCTTTCCTCTCTAAAAATGTTGGGAGTGCACCATATCATTCAAGCACCTCTTGAGACTGCTCTCTGGTCCTGTAGTCATACAGTTGGACTTAATCTTGACTAAAAAGTTTTATTAATTCTATTTCAACAGTTTTGAATCCTACAGTAGTTCATTTTTGAGAGCATTTCTACAGGAACAGAGACAACTTACTGCTTTTGATTTGTCTTGATATAACTGTTATTCTTTTTGTATTTTTGTTTGTATTTGTTTATTTACACAAAAGAGACCCATATCAGTTCTTTCAAAGATTGAACGTTAGAATTGGAAACATCTCCCTACTGGCCTAGTTAACCAATTGCCAATTGCTGTTATGCTAATTGTAAATGCCAAAAATTTAAGTAATAATTCACTCAAACATTGACTCATTCCAAACTGGTATGACTTTTTTTCGTCTATGGAAGCAAAAGGAGATGTTTTGAAGTATGTTCACGCTGTTCAACAAAGGAGATTATAAAAGTGGCCCATATAGGTTTTGTGTAAAGAATTAAGGAAGATTTAAGTTGGTAAACCCCAACTTTTAATGAGGTTTGAGAGCTACTGCAAATGACAAGTTGGGACATTGCTTCAGAAGACTTGTAGCACATACTGAAAGTCGTATGGGCTCACATTTATTTATGAGGCTTTTATGTCCATCTTGTAGCTTAAATTTGTTCTAATGGAAAAGAACAGCTTGAACATTCGTCAAAATGTCTCCTTTTTTGTGTTTCAAGGATGAAAGATCAAACCGGTTTGGAACATGCTAAGATTGAGATTTTTATAATTTTCAGCTCAATTTTTCCCCCAGACTAAGCCAGATTTAGTCCCTCGGGCAAACATAGACCTTGGGACTTAGCGTAATATTGTATGAGGCCCTGAATGTTAATGCTTCATTTGATTTGATGTGGGGCTCTTTGTAGCTTCACTGACCCTTCTCTCTGGTTATTACATTCTCGCTCTCCCCCCGCTCCACCTCCACAGATGATAGTAAGTACCAGAGCACTTTTGTCTGTGCGTCTGTATGTCCCGCAGTCCGTCCACGCTGGGTGACCCCTTCCCACCACCTCCTTCTGCTCTGTGTGGCTGCCATGTCCTCCCTTCCTCTTGTCCAATGCATCCTCATTCACCTGTCACGTCTTTCTCTCTTTCTCTCGCTGTCTCTCTCTTCTCGGTCCATCTCTTGTCCTTTCCCTGGCCACCTCAGTGGTCTGTATACCTGAGGTGGCTGCAGCATGGTGCATTTCCTAATTGACTTGAACAAGGCCCTTTTCCGACTCCCACCCCAACGAAACTTCCAATCTGATGTCCGTCCCACATTTGACTGCCAACCCCTTCCTCTACTCATTCTCCTGGAAGCGACACTCTTTTTCTCCATGGTGGCTCTATTATCTGGGTGACGTGAACCGGTTTCAGGTGGTCCACCCTCCCCGTCTCTGTCACCCGTTTGAAACCTCTCCTCTGTGGGTTGTTGCTTGCGTCTGATCTTCACCTCAACTCCCGAGCCTCTATTTTTAGTCTCTGCAAGACATTATTCTGTAAATCTGTCCTGGTATTTGGTTTTTTCGTGTTGTTGTACCAAAATTGGCCTGATCCAACGCTGAGGTCTGAGAATTTTTAATTAAGACCATAAAATGTATTTGAGCAATATATTCTAGTTGTCAGTTGTTTGTAACAAAAATGATTATAAAAATTATATATATATTGTCGTATTACAGTGCAAATATTGTTTGTTTGTTTTTTGCTCTGCCTGTTTCAATCCATTAGCGTTCATATGAAGGTGTTTTCATCATTTTCTTTTCAGAATTTCTTTGAAAGGATTTCATAGTTTTTACCTTTGCTGAGTTTAGTTTCTTTAGTTTAGTCTATTAGATTATAAAAAATACTGTACAGAATTTTAATTTAAATATTAAATAAATGAGTGTTAACTACTTTGCTTTAAAGGGACAGTTCACCCAAAAATGAAAAGTCATAATTTACTCACCCTCACGTGACGTCGATACAGAAATTCTTCTCATCTGCCATAGCAATCAAATGTCATTCACATTTGCGTATATTCAAATATGGCATGTCAAAATTGCGTCACGTCAATCAAGTCAGGAGTTTTCTGATGTCACGGTCCCCAAAATACGATCATTCAGGTATACACCCATCCTAAAATTTAAAACTCAGCTTTATATTTTTGTGAATAAAGACCCAATTTATATTGTGAAAATTTAATTTTATAGTAGGATTTTGGAAAATATATTGTGTATATTATATTATAGTACTGTAATGTCTTTGATACAATCTGTATTGTGAAAAGCGCTATATAAATAAATGTAATGTTGAGGTTTTGAACTGAATTATTTATTTATTTTTTAATTATTACTTTTCATTAATTTTATCAAATTTGCTTAGGTAAAATAAAAATTTCTAAACCGTTCAAAGTTTTAACACTTTTTTTTAGACTTGGCAGCTCCAGTCCCCATTCACTTTAATTGTATGGAAAATTGTGGCGTGAACATTCGATAAAACACCTTTTGCGTTTCACTGAACGAAAAAAAAAAATGAAACGAGTTCAAAATTACACGAGGGTGCACAAATAATGACTATTTAAATTTCTGTCTCTGTAACAACAAACTGTAACGAGCAGCATCTTTTCCTTTTTTTTCCCTCATTTTTCATAATTTCTTTCTTCCTGAAGTTATGTGATCGGCCTGTTAGTCAGTTACTGGATATTGGACACTGTCAGCCTACTAAAGAGCGACAGGATCAATTCTCAAGTTAATTACACTATCCTCTCTTCACAGGGCAGGGTGAAGCTTGCTTGTCACAGTGATGTAAGAACTGAATCCCCTTTAGCTCAATGTGTCCTGTCTCTCTCTCACTCTCTCTCTCGCTCTTTCTCTCTCTCATTCTCAGTGTCTTCTTTGTGTGACTTGGGTCCCCCTGTTGAAACAAACCGGTGGAAGCAGTGTTTTTTACCCCTTGTTTTCAATGCAGTTGTGGGTTTCACTATAGACAACATTTATAGTTAACTATGTGCCCTTTCGAATCCTCACATAGTTCATTGCAGGTGCTCAGACACTCCGGGTTAAATAATGCATGACAGTCGCTTTAGGCTCTGATGTTTATGCTGGTCTAAGCGACTATTTCTTTTTTATATATATCAGAAATACAGACTATTTCTGTATACTAACTATTTCATTTTCCTAGAAGGACTACATTGTACATATTTGTATAATGGTATAATAAGGTGCACAAGCCTCATTCACTTAGTGATATATCCAAAGATTAAGGTATCAGCCAGTCGTAGATACTAGATATATCACCAGAGTGTTGTTATCCGGGCTGTGGACCTATTGGTTTTGTAAACCTTTCAACTCTTGTCTCTGTCTTATGTATGTAGCTAGTGTACTGTTTAATGTTGCACAAACAGTTGTGTGTCGATGCGTGGCTGTGTGCGAGTGTGTTTGGGGGTGGGGCACGCTGGGATTGTGTGAGTGCGTGTCTGACGTTTAAGACTGTTTCTGACCTCTGTGATGTGGCATTTCTGTCTACAACCTTGTCGATCTCTGTGACCTGACTAATGCCCCCTTTTCTCTTCTATACCTTCTTTCTTTTCTCTTCTTCCTCCAGGGCACTCAACTCATATTCAACGCCGCCAAGGAACTCGGTCAACTCTCCAAGCTTAAGGTATGTTAGTTTGCTACATAAAAAAGGTGTAAGCTAGTTTTATTTATTTTTTGACAGAAAACATTTTTTCGTACTTATTTTCAGACATTTTCAGCCAAAAAAAGACAATTTAGTAACATTTTGAAAAATCTATAGATATTTTAAAAATATTTTGTTAAAACATAATATGATAATAATAATAATATTAAGTAAATATTTATAAATGATTCATAAAAAGAATTTATAAAATAATTTATATTTTAAAACGTATTTATTTATAAATACATATATATATATATATATACTTTTATAAATAGTACTAAATAAATAAATATCAGTTTATCATTAAATATGTTTGAATTAAAATGTTTTAACATGTCATTTGTCAAAATAAACATTATTATTTTTTGTATTAATTTTGTATGTGCTGTATAACACCTAAATTAATTATTAATAAACAAATTATTTTTTAAAAAATTTCTCTTAATTTTTGTGCACAGTGTGACATAAAATATGTTTAAATGAACCTGGAATAACAATTTGATTTATGAAAAGATCATTGTGTTTTGTTATAAACTTTTGTTCTTTTTGTAGGAGCACATGGTTCGTGAGGAGGCCAAGGCACTGTCCCCTAAACAGTGTGCAGTGATTGAGTTAGCACTGGATACTATAAAGGTGTGTGTAAAGAGCTGAATGTCAGTGTAAAAATGGTCTTGTTTGTGATGATGACACCAACACCATCAGCAATATTGTGCTTCAAATAGTGGGCCGCTGAATATAATGGAAATATATAACTACAGTTAACTTCTTACTTCTACACTGCATATATGTAGAATATTCATTCTTTTGCAGCTGACGACATGGAGTCTGACAACACCAATGTAACGTTGTCATGGTACGAGCATGGAGCGTTAGTTCAACGTCAAGCTGATAAAAGTAGCCTATTATTGTAACGTTGCAGTGGGAGTTCACATAAGTTTCCAGCATGTTGTGTGTTGTGCTGAATTTGTCCTCCTGCCAAATAATTATGAAATTGGAATTCGAAATTTGGCACAACGCTGGTACCATGAGTGCCTGCACTTGTTTTCGAGCACACGCAAGAGCACAAGCACTCTTGTAAAAATTGGTCGCAATCTGAAACATCACAGATAGAGGCCGCTAAAAAATACATATAGCACCTTTAAAAAACAATTTAACAAGCAGAGAAGCCCAAGTATTTTTCAGGGAATCAACATTATTAATCAACTGTGTCTTTGTAGCTATCAAAACATTGCTCTTGTTTGAACATCCCGACGTGTCGGACACAGCAGCATTGTCTCATTATCACTCTCGGTTGTTTTGGGGTTTCTTAGCAATATTTCCATGCTGGAGGTGTGGGACTGAAGAAGACGTTCCTTGAGAAGAGTCCGGACCTGCTGTCTCTGCACTACGCCCTGTCCCTCTACACTCAGGCCACCGACAAACTCATCAAGACCTTCGTTCAGTCCCAGAACACACAAGGTAAGGCTCTTCCAGACATCTCGCCGTGCCTTTAAATGTTATTTACCCTTTCTCTACCTCTACCAGTCTTTAATAAAATTAGAATACATATACAATTATAGTATTATATATATAATTATTAGTGCTGTCAAATCTAACATAAAAGTTTGTAATAGTGTGTGTATATACTGTATATATACAGTGTATATATATATATATATATATATATATATACACACACACACACACACACATATATATACACAAACTTTTATGTTAGATGCATTAATTATCCTAACTAATTATTATATATTTTATATATTTTTTGAAGACATTACTTTGTATGGAAGCTTGTTTCCGTTATAGAATAAAACATTTAAAAGATAATTGCGAGTCTCACAATTCTGACTTTATAACACGCAATTTTGTGACTTTATATCAAGTAATTGTAAGATAAAGACAGAATTGCGAGATGTAAACTTGCAATTGTGAGAAAAAAGGTAAGAATAGTGAGATAAAAAAATTATTTTTTTTATTTTTTATTCTGTGGCTGAAACAAGCTTCCATAACTTTGCTATTAATAAATAAATTATTTTTATATTTTTATTATTATTAATATATATATATATATATATATATATATATATATAAATAAATATTAATTTATTTATTATGAAAAAAAATATTGCATTTTCTTTTGGTGTTTAATTTGAGTTCCGTCTTTCTTTTTCTCCCTCACACACTTTGGGAATCCTGACACACTTTAGGTCGAGATGCCCCCGGCAGAGCAATTTTAATAGATTATCATTTAAAATGTAATTAGAGTAAATGTCACTACTACATTTAAGTATTTAAACAACTATTGAAAATAAAGTGTGTGTGTAAATGTGTGTATGTGTGTAAAAATCCACAGCAGGTTGAAGATGGACTGTTAAAGACTAAAACATTTGCTGAGCTTGTTGGACTCTCTTTTTTCTTCTTCTGTATCTCTTCCTTTCTGTCTCTCAAATCCCCATCACTATGTGGTCTCAATTTCTCTCTGTATTTTTCTGCGATGTCTCCTCTTTCACCAGTTCATGGAGGGAAGGGGGTAAGGTTCAGCCATAGTGAAGACGTGTACCCAGAGAAGGGTACGTTCACGTGGGGCCCGGTGCCCTTCATGACGAAGAACTAATCAGTGATCCACCCGAATCAGATCATGCACCTCCCATTCCAACGGGCCAAACGCATGCCCCACGACCACCCATATCTTCCCACAGAAAGGGCCTTGCATGTATGAGTACCTGGGAAGAACATGCTGTATGTTCGCATACATTGGTCTGAAATGTATCTTGACGCTACAGCAGCAAGAAAGCCCAGGATGAAGTGTGTTTTGAATGGCAGTGAATGATGAATGCACGCTCTTCTGCAGTGTGAGGTGCATGTGTGCACTGAGTGACAGTGAGAAACGAGTGAGAGACTGTGGCGAAACGTTATTTTTCCAAGCGCTGAATCACGTTGTCGTATGTAGATGTGACATTAATTGCGACTGACTCAGATTGTCCGCAGGCAGGGTCTGTTCTGTTGCTCTGCGTGATTTTCCCTCACGACCACGCAACGTGGTTTCCCCTCCCTTCAGTCTCATCCCTTAGGCTCAAAACAACCCTCCCTCAGCCAATCAGAGTTCGCTCCTGGGGTCAGGTGATGTGCTTTCTGTCAGTGTATATCAGTTCAAAAAGGCTCTAAATTGGCATTTAAGGGCCCCGAAAAAAATCACTTGGCTTTTTGTGATTTTAACTTGAGATATCATTTATGTTGCTTCAAAATGACCAATCTTAGACGTTGATATGCTTGAGCCAAATTAGTGTTTACTTATTCTCAACACTCAAAACAGCAGCAGTTTTTAAAATGTCTTAGAGTGGATATTTTCATGAAAAAATTGCATAATGCAAAAAATCTTAATGAACCTTTTTAAAAAAGTTATATATATATATATATATATATATATATATAGTGAGATTGTTATTAAATATTTATTTATTATATATAATTAACTTTTGTAATATATTACCAAAAAAATTAATTTTTTTAGGTTAATTTAGATTTTTTTATATTATATATATATATATATATATATATATTGTGAGATTGTTATATATTGTTTTATTTATTATATATAATATGTTTTATGTTTTATTTGTTATATATTTATTTATTATATATTAATATTTTTTATTTATTATATATAATATGTAACTTTTGTAATATATTACAAAATATTTTAATTTTTCTTAGGTTAATTTAGATTTTTATTATATAAAAGAAATGTTTTTTTTTCATTGCTAAATAATGCTAAATATATACATATATATATACACTCACCGGCCACTTTATTAGGTACACCTGTCCAACTGCTCGTTAACACTTAATTTCTAAGCAGCCAATCACATGGCGGCAACTCAGTGCATTTAGGCATGTAGACATGGTCAAGACAATCTCCTGCAGTTCAAACCCAGCATCAGTATGGGGAAGAAAGGTGATTTGAGTGACTTTGAACGTGGCATGATTGTTGGTGCCAGAAGGGCTGGTCTGAGTATTTCAGAAACTGCTAATCTACTGGGATTTTCACGCACAACCATCTCTAGGGTTTACAGAGAATGGTCCGAAAAAGAAAAAAACATCCAGTGAGCGGCAGTTCTGTGGGCGGAAATGCCTTGTTGATGCCAGAGGTCAGAGGAGAATGGCCAGACTGGTTCGAGCTGATAGAAGGGCAACAGTGACTCAAATAACCACCCGTTACAACCAAGGTGGGCAGAAGAGCATCTCTGAACGCACAGTACGTCGAACTTTGAGGCAGATGGGCTACAGCAGCAGAAGACCACACCGGGTGCCACTCCTTTCAGCTAAGAACAGGAAACTGAGGCTACAATTTGCACAAGCTCATCGAAATTGGACAATAGAAGATTGGAAAAACGTTGCCTGGTCTGATGAGTCTCGATTTCTGCTGCGACATTCAGATGGTAGGGTCAGAATTTGGCGTCTACAACATGAAAGCATGGATCCATCCTGCCTTGTATCAACGGTTCAGGCTGGTGGTGGTGGTGTCATGGTGTGGGGAATATTTTCTTGGCACTCTTTGGGCCCCTTGGTACCAATTGAGCATCGTTGCAACGCCACAGCCTACCTGAGTATTGTTGCTGACCATGTCCATCCCTTTATGACCACAATGTACCCAACTTCTGATGGCTACTTTCAGCAGGATAATGCGCCATGTCATAAAGCTGGAATCATCTCAGACTGGTTTCTTGAACATGACAATGAGTTCGGTGTACTCAAATGGCCTCCACAGTCACCAGATCTCAATCCAATAGAGCATCTTTGGGATGTGGTGGAACGGGAGATTCGCATCATGGATGTGCAGCCGACAAATCTGCGGCAACTGTGTGATGCCATCATGTCAATATAGACCAAACTCCCTGAGGAATGCTTCCAGCACCTTGTTGAATCTATGCCACGAAGAATTGAGGCAGTTCTGAAGGCAAAAGGGGGTCCAACCCGTTACTAGCATGGGGTACCTAATAAAGTGGCCGGTGAGTATATATATATATATATATATATATATATAAATTATTATGTTTAATATATATATATATATATATATATATATATATATATCATTAAAATTTTAGCTAGATTATTCTAAATAAAAATGAATTATTGTATATTTAATTTATATTTAAGACAATTAAAAAATATATATTGCAAAAATTTTATTAACAATTTCTGATTTTGTGGTTTAATGTGACCCTGACATTTCTTGACAGGTTTTGTGACTTTTACCCAGATGCTGTTTGGTTAGAAATAGTCATAAAGTGCTGCATCAACAGCCGTCAGCGTCAACGTTAACATGCCGCTGTTCAAGCTTTTTCAAATCCCTTCTTGCTTAGACAGTTCCGCTCTAAAGAGAAACTGCATTATCAGCCTGTTTCTCTGACAGGCACACACATATAACAGATGCTGAAAGCAACTCATTTTTTTTATTATTATTTGATTGCAGCTGAGCTGACCTAGATTCTGTGAAGTTTTAGATGCTTAAGTCGCATTTAGTTGAACATGAAAATTCATTGGAGTCAAAAGTGTTTAAAAAAGTGGATCAAAACAGCAAACTGTATGCCAAAGACCATGGTAGCTTTCCATGAGTGTGAATGCAGATGTGTGGGAATGGAAGTGGTTTTCCGCATGTACCTGCCTGCATTGAAACCAAGTGAAGGACAATATCACATGTTCTCCTTGTCTTCTCCTTCCTATGAATGACTAGACCAATAGGACTGCTCTCCCCCCTCCCCATCATGGTTATAAACCCTTCATGAAACACCAAGAAATCAAGTGCAACCACACAGCATGTGTGCAGATGGTACACTCATGATAATCTGAGGAAACACACTTCTCAATGTATTGTACACACTTTGTTGCAAAAGAATCCTGTGAGGCATTACTTTATTTTGGTTGTCTGTGTATTGTGAGCTATATTTCATTGATTATTTCAAGTCTTGTCAGATTTTCATTGGGACATTAGCATGTTAGCTTGCTATTTTTGTTAGCTAGCTAGCTAGCTGTAAGAAGCTCTGTATACAGACACTGGAATAAAGTGTACCAACTTTTTTGCCTGAATAAGCCTCACAAATTCAGATTTAGAAATGTGTTGAAGGGATTACTTTTTAAATCATTTCCAGAGCTTATTTGCATTTTTTGACGCAGGACTATACCATTTTTAAAAGTTCACCAATGGATCACCCCAATTCAAATTTGTACAGCTCAGCTTTAAATTGTCTATATTAGCTCTTATCTAAATTATTATACATTTAATTTAAAAATCCACATTTGAACTCGGATCAATACAATAAGCTCTGAATTTGTATTTATTAAGTGCTTCAACATGGAAGAACTACCTAATTCCTTTTCATATTATTAATGATCTCTCAAGCCAGGTTCAACACCATTACGCTGTTTAAACCTCTTTATAATCCAATAGCTCAAAGTATACATTGCCTCTGTATGACTCTGTGATTACTGAATTCATAAAGGAAGTGATTAGAAGTTCCATTGAGCCATACCGATGCAAAGTATCCTGACCGACCAGAAATGGAGTCTTGACTTGTCTCGTCTTGTCTGCAGGTACTGGTGTTGATGATGCAGTTGGAGAGGTGTCTATCCATGTGGAGATCTTCACTCATCCAAATACTGGAGAGCACAAAGTCACAGTGAAGGGTACGTAGTGCTTCTTCATTTTTAACTTAAGCCTGTTTGCATTCCTCCTTGATTTTAAACTGTGGAAGAAGTTGCTTCTATTAAGGTGAAACATAAAGCTTAGGAAGCCTTTGAAGAACCTCTAGGCACCCATGTGAAGGTGCCTCGGCTATCTTGTGAACTCAACTTGAAGTTCTCAAATCTTTTATTTACTGTAGTGTTCCTTGAGGAACCAGTGATGACAGTCTTTAGAGTTATTGCATTAAATTCTGGGTTCCATTTTGTAAGTTCCTCAGAGAATTGCTCCTTTTTAAAGGGGGTCCAGAGGTTCTCTAAAATGTCTTCCTTGTGTGCTAATCTGGAACTTCAAATGCTCAAGTAGATTCATGTAATGGGAAGAATGTCTAGAATAAAAATTAAAAAGTATATGTGGTGGAATCCTCTGGAAAATCACTATGAACCCTTGTTAAAGAGGCTCAAAATTTTTCTATATAATGGCGTTGCTATAAGAATTGCTGACAGTCTGGAATTCTTGCACAAACTTTGGGTTTCCGTATTGTAAGTTCTTTAGAGGACTTCCCTATTTCAACGCATGCCTAGAGGTTCTCAGAGGGTTCTTCTAATATCGGGATCCAAGGAACCCAAAATGGTCCCTCAAGTAGCTTCATTTTCAAGGAGAGACTACACTGTAAAAATGAGATGGAATGCGAGGTACTATTTTGTTTCCTTAGATCACCCACTAGAAAACCACTAGAAACTTATGTAAAGTGCTTCAAAACCATTGACAGTATTTAGAGTTCTTGCATGTACTTATGGCTTCCATGTTTTAGGTTCCTCTGAGAACTTCTGTGCCTAGATGTTCTCCAAAAAACTGCAACAATTTTACCTTTAGGGCTAAAACAGCTTGTCAGTTGGGCAGTACCCTTAAACTATACCTTATCTACCCATAAAAGGTGCATATTGGTACTTTATGGTGCTTTCCCACTACACAGTACAAACTTGTACCTGTACCTGCTTTCGGGTACTTTTTTTAGTTTCACCTCTGGCGTGGTTCTGAGCGAGCTAAGGCGAGCTAAGCCGGTACTAAAATGTGACGTGAAAACAATGCCGACTGCTGATTGGCCAGAGAGAATCGTCACCATTCACTGCGTCATCATTGTACGTGCCAGTATCCAGAATATCCCCGCCATTTTTAAATAGTTTGGCCAAAGATAGTTCCTAAACTTACTATATCATATTATGGCAACTCGGAAGAATACGCCGTGGTCAAACAAGGAGGTGCCGAAGAGAGGATCCGGCGAGAGCTTGATAGGGCAGCGAGGAACGAAAGGCGTCGCTATGACGACCGGGTACTATTTGTGGCGGTACTCTCTGCAATGGAAAGCCGAGCCGAGTACTGGTAATGGAAAAGCGCCATTAGAGTCCTAATATGCACTTTTAAGGGAGTACTATGAACATTTCGGGATAAATAAGATATAAAGGTGTCCCTTTAAGGCGGGGGTGTTCTAAACACACTAGAACTAGCTAATCAAGCTCTTATTAGGCATACTAGAAACTTCCAGGCAGGTGTGTTGAGGCAACTTGGAGCCAAACTCTGCAGGACAGTGGCCCCGCTAGGAGCAGGTTTGGACACCCCTGCTTTAAGGTTACTGCCTCAGTGACAAGCTGTATTACCCCTATAGGTAATAGTTTTTGTGCATTTTTCCTGATAAATAGACCAAGTGGTCCCTTAAGTTTCTTCATTTTTGCAGTATAATAGGACACAAGTACAATTTGAACAATTCGCTGTATTTTCTTTGTATTTTAGTGGTGGCTGCGAATGACCTACGTTGGCAGACTTCTGGCATTTTCCGGCCCTTCGTGGAGGTCTATATCATTGGCCCTCATCTCAGCGATAAGAAGAGAAAGTACGCCACCAAGTCCAAAAACAACAGCTGGGCTCCAAAATACAACGAGACCTTTACATTGTGAGTGGCATGCACTTGTTTCTTTAGCTTACGTTTCGTTACAGTTCCTGATTTAAATGTAATCCTGGTGCTGTTGCTTCTTTCCCAAAGCACATTGAGTAACGAAGTGGGTCCCGAGTGCTACGAGCTGCAGGTGTGCGTGAAGGACTACTGCTTTGCACGAGAGGACCGCACCGTCGGAATGGCGGTACTGCAGCTAAAGGACGTAGCACCGCGGGGTAGCGTAGCATGCTGGCTACCACTAGGTAAACGCATTCACATGGATGAAACCGGCCTGACCGTACTGCGAATCTTGTCCCAGCGCAACAACGACGACGTCGCGAAAGAATTTGTCAAACTCAAATCCGACCAGCGTTCTGCTGAGGAGGGGCGGAGCTAAGACCAAGGAGTATCTAGTTAGGCACAGTTACTTTGTTGAAAACACTGCCCCCTAATGCTCAGATGTTGCACTAGCGCACAGATAAAATACACAAGACATATTTATCTTGGTTCTTCACTTGACCAACCGTTTACGTGACAAAGCAGTTATATATTTGTACTCGGTGCACTGCCATTAGACCTGCCAGGAAGGGCTTGTTTAACAAGCACAATTTGGCACATGAAACAGACACAGGATATTGTATCTTTGAAATACTTGATGTTTGTGATGTCCTTGATTTTTATAATGCATATTCCAAGGAAAAAAGTTACTTAAATCCAACACATTATCTATTTATTCTGCAAAACATTAAATATTCAGTTCACACGTATCAAAATATAAATCCATAAAAAAATATTTATTATATTTATAATAATGATAATAATTACAAAATGATATATTATAGTAATTACATTAAAAATATATTTATATTAATTTATAACCAGATTAAGGCATGATGTACACTTTTTTTCCATGTCAAGCAATCTGTAATGATGTCGAAAACCTCTTTACTGAGGCCTTTTGTCAATCATTCCTGCACCCTTCTAAAGGTGTCTTAATGTCAGGGTATAGTTTCTCCACTATGTACTGCCATTTCACCCTAACTACTTATTAGGGACCAAAACCCACTATGGGTCAGACTTTAAGGTTATGCAATCGTTTAGAAGCACAAGAAAAAAAAATACACCTACAACCAAATACACCTCTGAATGCAGAGTGGTTGCTTTTTCCTGTAGTATGAAAATGTCTTGGGTGTTTTTCGGAGACACCACTTGCAGGAAATCCAACGAATTATACTTACTGTAAAGACTATGAGATACTGACACTTTGTAAAGATGCTTCGCACATTCAGATTCAATCACAAGGCCAACTCTGTCCTGTTTTTGTGTATCTAATATGTTTTCCGACCTGTTCAAGTACGAGTGCCTGTGCAGTTTATCAAGTGTTTGTCGGCATGATAAGGCACGATGTATGTGTGCAAGTTTGATTGACAAACACTGCTTATATTAGACACCAGAGCTGCCTGTTCCAGTGAGATTTCACTTTATTACATCACAGTTAAATGTCATACCACTCCAGATCATTCCATGCGAAATGGGGCTTTTCCCCCCCTCTACAGCAATCTCTGGTTTCACACCTCAAAAGAATCACAGCCGTTGAGAATCACTCCTATAGAGTTGCCATAGTAACCGCTGATGAATCCTGCCATTTTACTGCCAAACCATCCACCATATTAGAAAAGCACAACAGAGACGCTTTATAATGTGGTTTAAACACTATATTCATTCCTTCCTGCTGTATTGCGCTGAACCATAAGTGTCAAAATGAACCACTTAGGTGAAATTATCTCGTCGCATAGTGAATTTAGCCAATAAGCACCTTGCGCTACAGCTATTTTTTTATGTTTCCTTCTATTATTTCTCTAAAAAGAGTCTATGCATCAGTCAGAATCATCAGTGGATTGTTTACATCGCGAATGGGCGGCACAACCCGCAGCTGCAAACTTTGCTGGTTTTGTTTTACATGCTGAATCCTTCAGTGTTCATCGTTGTAGGGTTCAATCACAGGAAATGGCATTAATGAATGTTGAAATGACTGCCGACTGGAAAATTGCATCTGTAGCAAGAAATTTGGATGATAGGATTTCTAATGTTAAAGCTGTGTGTTGCTGACTGTGAATAGTAATATTACAGGATGTAGTGAGCATGTAGTTCGAGACAAAGCACACACAGACACAAGTAACAATAACTCCACACGCACCCAAATAGCCACTCCTTGCCTGTATATAAGAAGCAGTGCATGTTGGGAAAGATTCTTCTTGTGCCAGCATGTATCTTTGATGTGATATTCAATTGTTGTATTTATTTCTCTTGATTTCTTTTTGTCATTTATTTTGATATTTGGGTATTATTTTCTATTTTTGAAAGGCTTGTGAATATATAAATATGTATTACTGATGTGTAGTGGTACAGAGTGCTAGCATGAGAGATTTTTTTATACAAAGATGTTTCTAATTTTTGTTTTTCTAAATATGATCGTTCTTATCGGGGGTGGAGGTAAAACACTTGCCAGCCTTGGTTTGTTTCTACTTCCAATAAATGGTTAAAAAATACATCGTTCAATAGTCTGTTGGTTGTTGTTTTGTTAAACATGTTTTTAAAATGTTGAATATGACTAGACATTCTTATATTATTGTATTTATTTTTTTAAGTTATACAAATATTTAGACAGAAAGATAACGATAATACATTTAGAATGCGTGAAAATTAGGTCTATGGTAGCGATCAAAATATGAGTAAATCACCTCTTGAAAGTAACTTAAAAAAATTATGTCGATTACATTGTTACACCGGACCGGTAGGTGCCGATGGTGGGAGTAATGGATAGTTTGTCGGCTTTGTCAAGCTAAAATAATTAAACATTTACAATGGGTTCAAAATGTGCATGATAACAATGTATACAAAATGCTCGGATAGCATTTTTAAGTTGATCAGGCAACAAAAGGCAACAAACAAAAAAAGCTTTTCAGGAGGTAAAGGAACACCCACATTCAAACTCTGCGTAGGAAGGAGATCTTGAGGGACTCTGGGATTTCGAGCTGGGCGGCAGTGACTTGCGGAGGCGGCTGATAAGGGAACGTGACGGGGAACACCCGTCTGACATCCATCAGAAGCTGTGGAGGTTGCCCCTCAGAGCGCCCCTTCAGCAGCCCCTGGGAAACCCCACAGAAAAGCAGCATTATCACTCCTGGACAAAATCCTGCTATGATCTTCTGTTACAGCGCTCACGTTCACATGATGTCACTCTTACCTGTACTATACGGATGAAATTGAGCGTTACTCTCTCTTCGAGGTCACTCTGAGGTGTGTAGAGGCTTAACATCTTCACAAGCTGTGAGAAGATTTTTAATATTATGTTAATGTAAAATTATAAATAAAAATAAAATGATATAATTTATCGTATATATATATATATATATATATATATATATATTAAAATAACTACTTTTTTACTCAAAATGACTCGCTACTTTTTCTAAAAGAATTGCTACTTTTTTCAAAAAGAATCAAATTTTTTCAAAAACTATCACTACTTTTTTTTTAAAGAATCGCTACTTTTCCCAAAAAGAATCTCTTATTTTCAAAAAGTGCTACTTTTTCAAAAAGAGTCGCTACTTTTCCCAAAAAGAATCTCTTATTTTCAAAAAGAAGTGCTACTTTTTCAAAAAGAATCACTAATTTTTTCAAAAAGAATTTCTATTTTCGAAAAGAATCGCTACTTTTTTCAATAAGAATCACTCATTTTTCGAAAAGAATCGCTACTTTTTTAAAAAAAGAATCTTTTTTTAAATCACTACTTTTTCAAAAAGAATTGTTACTTTTTCGAAAAGAATTGCTACTTTTTTCAAAAAGAATCGCTACTTTTTTTAAAAGGATCGCTGCTTTTCCCAAAAAGAATCGCTACTTTTACCAAAAAGAATCGCTACTTTTTCAAGAATCGCTACTTTTACCAAAAAGAATCGCTACTTTTTCAAGAATCGCTAATTTTTCCAAAAAGAATTGCTACTTATTTTTTCAAAAATAATATAACATATGTATAATAATAATGTAATAAATGTATAATAACACTGCAAATAATGTATAATTAAATTGTAATAAATGTATAATTACATCGCAATAAATGTATAATAACAACCTTGAAAAAGAATCCCTTTTTTTACATCAAAAGTAAACAGTGTAGCCGACTTAATGTTTAACTGACAGAATATCAAGACACCTGTCAAGTTTGAAATCCATTGGACTAACAGTTCGAGAGATATTCGATTAACAGACAGACACACATTCCTGTGATAGATAGATAGATAGATAGATAGATAGATAGATAGATAGATAGATAGATAGATAGATAGATAGATAGATAGATAGATAGATAGATAGATAGATAGATAGAGAGCGAGCCACCTGCTGGTTGGACAATGCATTGCAGGTTTGGACCATGGCTTGTCCATCCGCTTCAGTCTTCTTGCTCATTTGAAGAAGCTGTGCTGCCTGTATCAGAGGCTCCAGAGCGCTCACAGTGCCCCCTGCCTGCAGCGAACGACTCCGCAGCCACTCCTCCAGTAAACTCACATTATACCTATGATAGAAGGATATAAATATCTGATGCACAACTCCCTCAAGCAAATGTTGAAGTAACAGACCTGATCTGGAGGCCGCGGTTCCAGCAGCACATGTCTTTGCGCAGTAGCAGGCTGTTGAGGGTGGTGGCGGACAGCAGGTACATGAGCTGACGGAAGGCTTGTGCCAGCAGGGCCGAGGGCAGATCTTGATGGGACAGGGCTGTGTGTAATGCTGACAGTTCCCTCAACACTGCAGACATAGTGGTCCCCTCTGTGCTGGTGGGAGGCCGGGGGTCCGAACCCGCTCGCTTGCGGCCCACACTCTTTAAAGATGAAACTGCCAGACCAGGGATGGTCTCACTTTCAAGCATTGCTGGGACTGAAGTAAAGAGGTGAGTACACAATCAAGATCATTGACAGATCTGTATGAAAGGTCTTTCTGTCTATATGAGTGTACCGATCATAGGTTGTAGATGGCTCTCAGAGATGGACAGCAGCTGCTGATAGGCCTGAATACACACATCACTGAGCGCTCGAACACACTCCTGCACGTCCGTCACCAGAGGCACCAGCTCCTCGCAGCCCCTCACATCCTTCACCAGAAAAGGTTCAAACATTTCATGAATCAAATCATTATTTTATTTCAATTTTAAGCCTGTATTTTCTGCCAAGGGTTAAAAATAATACTAAATAAAAATGATAATTTGGAGGACAGATCTGTCACCTGTTGGTGAGAGTGCTGGTGGAGCAGGTCTTTGAGCAGGTAAGCGTTCTTTAGCCACACCGCCGTCATATCCAGATCATTACCGTGTTTCTACAATAATCACATTGCTATTGTTCAAATATGACCAATTAATATCTTAAAATCTACTCTACACACATCACACATTTCCTAGACACAGACATACAGTTCATCCTGAATTTAATTAAGCTTACTTTATTATGGACTTAATAGAGTGCCGAAGTGATAACGTCACTTTGTAGGACAACTCGGAAGCTAGCGGCGCATGGGTTCCCTCGATCGAAAAGCTATGCATTTTCCCCATAGACTTTTGGAAAATCGCAAAAAATAAGATCTGTGTTTAACAAAGAGTTGTGACCCTTACACGTTTTGTCTATCAAGATAATCTTTACAAGTTAATCCAAAATTTATACATTTTGAAGCCTATATAACGTTTTTAAAAAACACAAGCCGAAACAGGTTATAACTGTGTGTTCTATGTCATAGATCAAAACGTGAAAATATTTAGAGGCTTTGTTCACCACAGACCTTATTTCAGGCGATTTAGCAAAAACCCATTCAAAAATCCCATAGACTTTAGAGCGAGGGAATCAAGAGTGCTAAAATGCTAACTCACTTCCGTGTTTTGGCCTACAGAGTGATGCCGTAACTTCGGCACTCTATTAGACTATGTGACAATATTGTAAACTGTAAAATGACTGTACAAATATTTAAATAGCTTTACCGCTCAAATAATAAAATGGTAGGTATGATGTAAAGTTGTAGGCCAAAACGCAGAAGCGAGTTAGCATTTTAGCACTTTTAGCCCAGAAGCCAATGGGTTTCTTAAACAGGGTTTTGGTTAAATGGACACAAGCTCAAGATATTTTCACGTTTTATTCTACGACTTAAAATACATCTGTTTTACCCCAGTCATGATTTTTTTTAAGCTGTTGTGTCTTGAAAATGGCGGCTGCTAACAAGTGGCTAAACGGGACTACAGAGGCAGTCGAGGAGATTAAACATCATGCTGAACAGGTAAACACAGTCCGCTTTTACAGCCTCATTATGCTTATAGTTGTGCTCTTATAAACGATTCTAACTCAAAAGGTTCTGGGAAAATGCTTTTAGACAAAAACTGAAAGAGTTTTGGGAAGCTTAGTGATGGTGACCTTGAAGTTGAGCGACCGTGGTATAGTTCGTTTATAGCGTACTATGACTTTTTACTTCAAAAATCATAAAAGTTCATCTTTGATAATGATCTTGATGGACAAACTGTGTAAAATGTGTGATGACAGAGCTTGTTTTTAGCGATAATCCCAAAAATCTATGGGAAAATCCTTTTGGGTTTTTGTCGAGGGAACCAGATGCTAACTGCTGGTTGGCCTACAAATGCTAACCAGATTTTTTCCTCGTAATTATTAATATTTACGAAATATTTCTAAAATTCAGACTTTTTTTGTATCTCAATTATTAGTTAATATTCCGTAATTCTGATTTTTTTTTTTAGCAAATCTGATTTTTTTTTGTCAGATTGTTTATTTCCCAAAATTCTGATAGAAAAAAGTCACAATTGCGAGATTATAACCCAATTCACATATAAAAAGTCAGAATTATGATTTTATCTGTCACAATCCTGACCTTTTTTTCTCAAAATTGTAAGATATAGATGTAAGATATTATAGACAATAGAAGCACAATTTGATGGCATGTAAAGATATAAATGCTTGTTTGACCTTCATGGCAGTTTTAATAGCGCTAACAGCAGCGCCACAGAGCCCCTTCACTCGCGTCTGATCGCCACTACAGTCCGCTTGCCGTACACACAGAAACAGAACCCGGGCCGCCAGTCCAGGGGACAAAGACAAAACTCCCTCCGCCTTCACATCTGTCACAGAGGAATGATAAATCCTGTCAGTCAGCTTGAATAACCATCTCAAAAGTAAACCAACTGTTGTGTATGTTGTTGACCTGTTATAAGATGTTTGATCAGCTTGCTCTCATCTCTCTTCCTGCACTCCAGTAGTCCGCTGAGTGTCTGGCTCTTCTGAGGGCCAGGAGATGTTGGGTCCTGAGACGCAGCTATCGCTACACCTGAGCAGGATATTTGTAAGTGTGACACACTGCCTTTCAAACATAAAACACTTTTTTATAAGTGTTTGTAAGTGTAGAGTAGATGTAACCTTTAGTTTTAAGTGTAGAGTGGATGTTTTTTTGACCCACACAGACCTGCATAAGAAAGGATTCTCCTGAGGCTCACAGTGTGCTTCAGTTCCTTGAGCTCTCGACGTAATCGGACACATTCCTGTTCTCGAACCACCACCTGCTCCGTTAGTTCCTTCATTCACACACATAAAGAAGCAAAAAATTACAACTGAACAAAGTACCTGTTCCAAATAATAATAAATGGTAGGTTCAGATGGAACAGGTACATTTATCTCAGGATCTCCAGGCGTATCTCTGTCATGGGCCTGCTGGAGTTTCATCCTGAGAGCTGAAATCTCCTGCTCCCACTGCCCTCTCTGAGACAACAGCTGCGTCTCTAGAAACCTGGAACCATACAATATAGTGCCATCAATGACTTTCTAAAGTCTCAATGATGAACGTGAGTTGAGTGAAAGGAAACTGACTTGTTGGCCACCCGTACAGCATCGTACGCATATCTGAGATCTTCCCCCTTCATCCCCTCGGCTGTGTCCTTCGCAACGTTCATATCCTCCATTAGGATGTTCTGTGGGTAAATATTGTCACATTATTGTTCTCAATATACAGCTTTTTTGTTTATTTTTTTATTAGAAATAGACTTTTAATGTCTGACCAGAGGTTGCTCATAGCTCCAGGGTCTCCTGTCGGTGGCGGACGTGACGCTGATCTTCCTGATCTCCTCGGGTGAAGGGAAGATGGGCGAGCTCGAGAACGGCGTGGTGACGGGCGAAAGAGGCTCCAAAGACACAGTCGAATCTGTTCGCCTATGTCCACGTGAATGCTGCGAGGGAGCACACTTATATGTTCTTGCTTATGTTTAAGATTAAATACAATGTTAACACAAAATAAAACTAGAAAACAAATATTAGAATTAGCTACTAGCCTACATATTTTTTTAATTAATATACAGTATATTGTCATATTTTCTTATTTGTACATACAGGGGTATTGTGTACCTGTTTTTTATTTTAATCGTACATTTATTTCATTATAATTTATACTAACGGGTTGTTGATCTGATTCTGACTGGTTGACGAACGTTATTTTTAGGGAAACGCACACACATTAGTACGGACACACTCGCACAAAAATGTGTTTTTTTCAACTTAAAAGATATACATTTTACACAAGTGCAGTAATATTTGCTTTCAAATACCGTTGAAAGATGCACAGAGACTATTTACACACGCTTACCCAAGCCAGACAGCAACATAGTGTCGGCCCAGATTCGGCCCACATTTGGTAAGCGTGGAATCCACATGTACCAGATATGACACTATGACTTCTTTTTAATAACTGCATTAGTTCACATATCGCGTCTTTTGCGCGGTCAAGTTCGTTATTTCAAATGTAGGCGTGCGGTATGCGTGCTCATAATGGAAGCGATGCGGTCGCGGTGCGACGCGCTTGTTTTTTCCATGCGCATCCGCGCCGCGTCGAGATAAAAACATCTCAATTTTTCAGAATACCGCAAGCGCACCATACGCACACAATAGGTCATGTGACAAGAACCAACTGAAGCGCAACCGCCCTGGCGCTTTGGAAAATGGAGAATGCGGCGCGACCAGCTTTTTTTTACGCGTTTTTAGGCGCTATATGTGAATCCGGCCTTAGTCTGCTATCAATGGCTCAAGCCTCCATTATTAGCTGTGAAATCATGTTTTGGAACTAGCGAGAGGTGTAAGATGAGATGCATAAGAAATTAGTCCTACACACAATCATTTTTTAAAGACAAAAACCTGACAAATGTCTTGAAACATAACATCTGAACAATGTCTTGAGGTGAGGTGTGCATTTTTTTCTTAATAATTTAACCTGTCATCAATTATTCCTTACACAAATTCTCTAAAGATGTACCTCATTGGTGGTGAATAGGCTCATATCTCTTAGGTTGTCATATCTTTGCTCTAGCCTCGTGAACTCTCTAAGTAAACTCTGGTATCTCCTCCTCTCCTCTTCCAGCTCTGCTTGCACTGATGCACCCGCCTGATCCACAGACTGCTGCCGGCTCTCTGAAACATGCAGTTTGTTCAACTTTTTACTTTTACATAAATTATTGATATCATTTTTTTATTTATTGTGTCTAAATACATTAAAATGAGCCTTTGACTGCCATTTATTTACTATTTAAAGGTAATTCATGAATTGAGATTAAACCTTAGTGGTTAATTTCACAATAAGAATTGACACAAATTGAATCCATTTACCCTCCTGAGCCTTTTCCTGATCCTGTAAACGAACAGCCAAGTCATCCTTCTCTTTCTCCAAAGAATCTCTCTCGAATCGGAGAGCTTGGATTTCCTAGAGTCAACAGGAAGTAAACAAACAAAACTGGTGAGTATAAACAGAACCAACTGCTTTGCAAGACAAGAAATTGTAAAATAAATAAATGGATAAAAATAAGTGGCTTATGTTAACTGTGTATGTGAAACATGGCTCACCTGTGTAAGCTGGAGAATCTCTTGGGCGGCCTTCTCCCCAGCTTTCCTTATGTCCTCCTCCTGTTTGTCTGCAAGTAAAGGAGCAGTGTTTGCATTCTCCTGCAGTTGAATCTTGAGTTTGAGGAGGCTTGACCGCAGCTGTTCCAGCTCAGAGCTGTGAGATGCTCGCTCGGACTGAAGAATCTCCCTCAGAGACGCACTCTCTCTCGCCTGAGAAAAGAAAAGCACACATGATTCACATTGTGCGGCCATCTGTCCGGATTTTAAATACTATGTTCGCCTACCAACACAGTTGGATGCTCATATTTCCTCCTGTTAAAGTCAGCGGGAAATCAAAGTGGTCAATTCTTATTTTTTTAAAAATACAGTATTTATTATAAATGATTTATCTGTGTGCATCATACAGTCATCCTGAACCAAAACAATGAGTTTATGCTGCATTCACGGCACACCATGTCATAACCGTAATTGGACGGATGGAAACCCGTGACGTTGCAACCTCTCACCTGTTGGTCAGCTCTGAGCTGCAGCTGCATGAGTTTGACTTCCATGCCCTTATTGAGTTCTCTGAATTTCTCTACCGATCGAGCCTCAGCACGCAGGCGCAACAGCTCTTTACGTGCAACTCGTCTGCGCACGCAACTCTGCAGAAGCACGACTGCAGTTCTGACGCGCCTGAAACTGCACCGGGCCAGCCAGCCTCGCACCTGTGCCTGCAAAAACACCACCGCCCGCTCTGTCAGCATCTAAAGAGAGAAGAGATTTATTAAACAAATCATAAAATAATAATGTAACACTACTAATTTTTAATTTCTGGGAACGTTAGTTTTTGGTTACCAGGAACGTTCCTAGAACTTTCCCTTATGGTTAGGGGAACGTTCCCGGAACGTTCTGCTTACGTTATAAAAATGGAACCTAAAAATAACCTACATGGAACGTTCCTATAATGTTCTTGTTTGGTTCCCAAAAAAAATAACCTCATGGGACCATTCGAGATTGCTGGGTTGACCTTACAGAAATCTAAAAATGCATTAGTCCAACTGCTTTGCTTGAGTTTATCATAACAGAGATGCTGCGTGCATTGAGATTTGCATTACTTGAGTTAGAACTTCAAAATAGAACTAGACCTAGAATAATCAAGTTAATATTTGGCCATTTTTTCTGCATTTATCATCTGCAGGGTCAAATGAGCCTGTAGCTTTCAACTATACCCAGAAACACATTTTAAAGCACGTTACCTGTCTATAAATGCGACGAGCCTGGGTGCCTCTGATGAAGGCCTGGATTTTGATGGTGGCCTCTCTGATGGTCATATAAAGTTGTCGCACAGCCAGCATGCGGTAAGTTTTCTGGATGATTAAAGCAACGCGTGTATAACGGAGGGTCCACGCCAACCTAATGGTTAGGTAACAATGAAGTATACTTCAAAATTTGGATCACATATAGAAACACCTATTAGAAAACCGACACAACTAGTATGGTACCTAAAAACCTACTGTACACAGTGTGTTCTTTAGGTAACACTCTAACCCACCTTCGGGCTAGGGTTCCTCTGGTGTAGCGCTGCAGGATGAAGGTGGCCCACCGGAGCCGCTGATAACGCCTACGCTGCAGCCAGCCTCTCACCCAACTTTGGATCAAAACCCCTGCTCTAGATAGCCGATCCCCTCTCAGCTTCTCCAGTACTGCAACTTGTCCAGCCCGGAAGAAGACCTTGGTCTTGCCAAAGCAGTACTGCTCCGGATCAGGGATGAGGTTGGGCAGGGCACTCTGACAGGAACGCCGTACATCATCCTGAGAAACAGAATCATGTAGCAACACCCGGTAGCGGGTGAAGAACTCCTCGTACGTCCACCTGGAGTACGAACAAAAGAGTCTGGGATGTAAGAAGGAACTTATGTTTTTCTTATTTGACAGACTTGGTAAATTTGGTAACTTGGTAGCGCTTTCATAGACCCAATGGTCACCAAAGAGCTTTACATTTGCCTCACATTCACCCACTCATTCACACACCAACAGTGGTGTCAGCCATGCAAGGCGCCATTCAGCTTGTCGGGAGTAGCTGGGGATAGGTGTCTTGCTCATGGACACCTCGACACTTGGTCAGGTGGAACCGGGGATTGAACCTTTGTAGACAACCTACATGAACCACTGAGCCACTGCCGCCCTGCCGACTTATAGAAGAGTACTTGCCTGGAGGGGTAGCCTGCGGCACTGATTCGGATGGTCTCCAAGACTCCACACGCTCGCAATTGCTGCACTGCTCGCTTGGGATCAAATCTGATATAAAGACAAGAAAAGGTTACTCCAAAATCTGATAAACATAAACACATAGGATATCTAATTTTTCTTACAGAAAAGGCTGTTTGAGGTCATTGGACTTTATGCAGCGGACATAATGGGGAGTGGTGCTGTTCAGGGTGTCCATTAAAAGTTGCAGGGATTGACGAAACTAGACACACAAAGAAAGAACATGTAAGAAAAGGTTGAAATCTCAGACCTAAAGAGTCAGAGAACACCTTAAGGCAGAGGTCCTCAACCCTACTCCTGGATGCCCACTGCTCTGCAGAGTTTATATCAAACCTGCTTCAGTCTGTGATTTTCAAGCAATCCTGAAGAGCTTGACTAGCTGGTTCAGGTGTGTTTGATTAGGGTTGGAGTAAAACTCTGCAGGACAGTGGGCCTCCAGGAGCAGGGTTGAAGACCTATGCCTTAAGGGATTTAGATTGATTTGAGCATGACTGGTTAACCATTTGAAAAGAGTTTTCTTCTTACAGGAACCAGGAGAAGCAGCTCACCTGAAAACCCACAGTTAATTTGTGCTCTCTGTGAGCTCGCTTTCCTGAACGTACGCTCCCGTTTGCAAGAGAGGAGTTGGGGAGGGATCCCCCTGACTCCTTCTGGAACAACTCTGCAACTAGTTCTGACTGGGAAGGATACGGACAGTTGTGAAGAGGCAGAGTGAGTACAAAACTAAATCTTTTAAAAGACAATGATTGAACTATTCACACAATACCTGGCTAGCTCTCAGTATATTGATGGGCTCCTCACACACAGTGTCTCGGTTCTTGTCTAAAAAGCCATCACACTCGTACTGAACCTAACGCAAAAAAACCCCCAGCAATATAATCACAAATGTTGAAAAGTTGCTAAATATTTGCTAAATTATTCTCAGTAAATGTTTTCTGACCAAATCAGCAAAATGCACAATGACGAAGGCAGAGTTGGACATGCGGGGTTTACGAAAGTAGGGGCTGTGGTTCAGGTGCTGGTCGTAAACCTTCCGAGCCCAGTTCTCATCCGAGCCTTTCGGCATCTAGAACAGAGAGAGAATGTGTTTTACACTTTGGTGACATGATAAGAGGGATTACAACTTGTGTTACAACATGTAGTTTGCTCACTCTGCATTCCTCATCCAGAAGATCAAGTAGGCCCAGCTGGCCTTCAATGAGTGCAATGCATGGCTGGTTATCGCTGAACTCAATACGATTCCAGGGAAGTTCCTCTCGCAGGTACTCCTCTTGCTCCAACTGAAACACATGCTGACAAGCACATACCACAAAACTTAACTTAATGAACAAAGTTGAGTCAACCAGTCAACTAATGTCTAGAGAAGTTCTGAAAAACTCAACAAAAATGGGCACTTGTACAGCTTCACTAGTGTGGAGAAATGCTTCAGGTCACGATTCGCTGGACAAAAATATAAAAAGACTCAACGTAATCCAAGTCCCGATATCTGGAAACTTACCCTGTTGAACTGTTGTTGGAGTTTCTCGTTGGCATAGTTAATACAGAATTGCTCAAAGCTATTCCTGTCAAAAGTCTCAAACCTATAAACAATAAAAACACAAATAAATTGACAAAACAATTCAACATGTACATTTTTGTTATATTATTGATTATTACACAGAAAATAACTCTTACCCATAGATATCAAGAACTCCTATGAAAGATTTGGGCTGTTCCCGGTGTGCTCGTAAGGATGAGTTGAGTCTCTGCACCGTCCATGTGAATAGTTGCTCGTACACATGCTTAGCCAGAGCATCCCGTGCTTCATTAGCCTGCTGGCCTGTCATGGGCTTCACAAGCATCTCCCCACCCACCGCCAGTCGCCTGTGACATAGCCATTGGGCCATCTGAGCACCTTCCACCCCCAAAAGCTTGGCAAAGACAGCCAAAGAGTGGTCATCGGCCTGACAATATGGTGAATAAGGAAGTATGTCCATATTATCACAAACTACTTGTTAGAAAATTAGCAAGGACAGCACTGCTCCTGTTTTTTATCTATACAGACATCAAACAGTTCTTCAAATTTTGATTTTGATTCGTACACAAAAAAATGTACACAATAATTGGAAATGGTGCTTGTACATTAATGTAGCTTCGGTCCCCACCACGACCACTGGCTTGTATGTTGACATTCCCCAGATGAAGAATAGCTGCCAGTATACGAAATATCTCCATCTGCTGGTCTGGCTGCACTCCTGCAGGGGTGAACCACAAGTTTCAAGTTCATCACGTTGTTTTTAAGGAATATATGGGTGTATTTTAACTTACCAAGTATAGTAAAGGCATTTCTTGTACGCTCCAGCTCGACAACATCATTTGTGCCTGGAATGTGCACATCTTGTCCTTGGTTGGTGTAATGGAAGTTCTCCGCAGAATCTATTGAGATGCAGTAAGGCTTGGTGATTGAATAAAAACGACACAACACAAATAACCACATTCACACATATATGTTTGAGTAACATGTTCTCGGGGCATTCATTTAGGCTTTACCCAATTTGAGTGTCCTCAACTCTGGCAAATCCCTGGAAGCACAAAGCTGGTAGAAGATGTGGTAGTTTCTCTCCTCAGCTGCCTGTTAATGTGTCACAATACAAAATGCATCTCAAGAACTAAATTTGAATGATCACTGAATCGTGAGATATTCACTATATCAAGCAATCACCTGAAAAACAACTCTTGATTTCTCCAACAAGTAGGTCTTCATGTTTGCCCCAATTATATCCCCTTTCCATCCAAATCCTATCTCAATATACTTTCCAAAACGGCTGCTGTTGTCGTTTCTAGTTGTTTTTGCATTACCAATTGCCTGCAAGGGTTAAAATTATAATTTAAGTTAATTTAAATGACTAATAATCAGCCTCCTACTTTACCAGAAAGGCCAGAAATCAAGTTTCAGTAGTCTACCTCCATGATGGGATTGGACGCCAAAACTTTCTCCTCCACACTGGTCTGCTGGGCCGCACCACCCACAACAGCAAAGTAACGCATGGTGTACTTGGCAGATACAGTTTTACCTGAACCTGATTCTCCACTGATTATGATGGACTGGTTTTTCTCCTCTCTGCACATATAATTATGATTAAAACCATATTAAAACCATATGTGTCGGTTAAGGTAATGTGATACAAATTCAGAATGAAACTCCCTACTGTGTGGTAATTAGGTAAAATTAAAAAAGGTACTTAGATATCTATAATAATTTGCATGGTACTTCAAAGTAATTTAAAGTAATTTGTCCAAAACATTATGGTACTTTTTTGTAAGTGAACTATTCTTGTTATTTGCTTGCTCTTGACCTGGTCATAGTGCAATACGCCTCTTCAGCCACCGAAAAAATATGCGGCTCCATATCAGCCGTGTCCTGGCCACTGTAAGCATCAATCACCTCCTCTCCGTAGATGGGCAACTGTTCGTATGGATTTAATGCCACCAACACAATCCCTATTAAAATATAAGAAAGTTATCTAAATTAGATTTACATATCTATGAAATGAAAAATGTAATTAATGAAGTTTAACATGCAAGGCCATCATTTTCTTTGCATAATTCACACACCAATAAACTCAGTGCTTGGTAAATGTTCTTTACAGTAGCCAATATAACAATGAGTGAATCTCTGTGCCTTGAACTTTACACCCAGTAAAATGGAGGTTAATGGGTGATGGCTGTAAAAACTTGCCACTGTATTCTGCAGAATTTAACTCACCGCAATATGTGTAAATGCTATTGTAGTCAAGAAAGCGCACTCGCAAATTGTGAAGTACCGCTGGCTCATGGAGGAAGGTTAGAGCTGTGAGGTCATTCTCCCCCTCCAAAATATCAGGGTTACCTAGAGGGGGAAGACCTGCCGGAGGCAACACTGGATACTCCATCTCCTTATTTAAAAACAAATATATACAGTATTTATACCGTTTGTGATGCCGTCAGGCCTCATGGTTTCATTTCAGTATCATATGTGTGTTTTTGTCTTACTCTGCCATCACTGAGTTGGATTAAGATCTGCTGGTCTCCAGGACGATAGTCTTGAAGCAGCTGTACAGACACCCACACAGCTTCTGGGTCTGGCACCCACACACATGCACCCTGAGGGGCGATACATAATAAATACAAAGCATAATCAACAAAAAAAAAATAGTCAAAGTAATTTTTTAGCTTATAGAATACCACAAATTAGTGTGTGGCTGATCATAAATGTATTTTTTGGTGTTTTAACAGGAAGTAAAGAGGCAACTGGATCCAGAAAAGTCCACGAGCCGGGTCTCGAAGATGGAACTCGGGTCGGAGCAGTGCCCATGAGGTTATTTTTTCTCTCTTTCTTTTGTATTTATTTATTTATTTATTTTACTTGTTGCATGCGTTTTTCGAAGTGAAGGAAATACAAAGCCCATTCTACTAATGTTTCTTATCCCTCACTACTTCGCTAATTAATATTATTACACAAACTTTAAGGCGCCCCTTATGAAAATTAACATTAATTGGTTTTACTATAGTAAAACTGCAGTTTTACTAAATTATCTTGAATTACATTTAAGCCATTCAATTTCAACAAACACCTACAAAATAACAACAGAAAGTTATCATTCTATGATACAGACTTTATAACAAAATTGCATAATCTGAAAGAAAATATAAACCTGTTTTCTCAGACAAGGCCTGACTAATATGCATATTTGAGCTGTTTTTACTGAAAGCAACTTGCACTGACTGACCTATCTTAAAATGTCAGCGGGCCGGTTTTGTCTCATGATGCACACCAAGACATGTTAGTTTATAAAAGCTATACTTAAATGTCCGAATTGAACTAGGTCTAACTCTGTGGAAATAGGCTATTACATTTTAACTGATGAAAGTGTTGAAGACGGGTTGACATTCCACTGCTTTTCAAACAAAAAATGCTACATTGCGCCTCCAGCAGAGTTTAGTGCTGACCCTAAACACACCTGAACCAGCTAATCAAGGTTTACTAGAAACTCCAAGCCAGGTGTGCATGGGCAAAAAAGGACATTGCAGTCTATAGTCTGCAGTCTTGATTATTATAATTTCTAATATATGAATACCAAGGAAATTGATTCAATATTTTGAATGTTACACAACTGCCCAGCAAACAAATTTAGCTTCTGGGAACGTTAGTTTTTGGTTCGGTTAACCTTAAGGGAACGTTCCCAGAACATTCTCCCAAAAATGGAAACTAAAAATAACCTACATGGAACGTTCCTATAACGTTATTGTTTGGTTCCCAAAAAAATAACCTCATGGGATCATTGGGGAACGTTAGAGGAACGTTGTGTTTGTTGGGTCATGTGCCTGAGTGACTATCTGGCCCAACCCAGTGACACTCTTTTTCTCCTTAATCAGCATGAAAACACTAGCAGCACCATTAAACATTAACATCAGCCGGTCAACACTATATCTATCTATCTATCTATCTATCTATCTATCTATCTATCTATCTATCTATCTATCTATCTATCTATCTATCTATCTGTGTTTATCTATCTGTCTATCTATTCTGATCATAATGACATTCAATGAAACTGCAAAAAAAAAGTATTATACATAAAAACTTATGAAATGCACTTACCTTTGTGTAGAGCTCTGTGGTTGCCATCTAGCCAGAGAGTTAATTTCTGTTTTGACAGCTCAAATGAAACCTCTCTACAACTACAGCTGTTCTTTTCATTTGCTTCTCAGAGCGAGTGACTGGCCCGGTGCCCTTTGGTCTGTTAAAGATTCAGCCATCATATCCGTAATAGTAAGTTAACAGTTAATCCTTGATGTTTGAGAGGGACATTCAAAACAGCTGTGCATCTGAACAATTTCATAGCAGCATAAAGTAGGGTGGCACATTACTGATAACATAAAGAAAGTGTATCAATAACACCTGTCACATCATTGCAGAAAAAAACAATAAAGACATTCAACACAGGAACATTTTATTTTAGGAAATGTAGAAGAGAACATGGACATCATTGTGATGATATGGGCAATGAACAAAACATTTTTTTTTATAAAAACATACTTTTCAACCAGCAAAATGTTTAGTTAAGTTGCTTTTCACAGGATGTTTACACATCACTAAGTATAAATCACGTGTCACATTTTATGAATCACCATTCACATTTCACTTCCAGGTTGACTGTGGAAATGTTATTCAGTGTCAAGTATGAACAGCTTATGAAGAAAAACATCAGGCAGTTTGAACAAGCACCAGATGAGTCGAAAACAGAAAATCTGAAACAAAAAACCACTTTGTAACTTATTAATGTTTATCAAAGCCTTGTCCCTGATAAAACATTTGGTATTGAGAAAACATACAAACTGAATTTGAACTGCATAATACTGATTTTCAACTTGGAATATTGTTCAACAATACTAACAGGGAGCAAAGTCAATATTTTCTGTTTTTGACAGAGATTTAAAGATTTTTTTAGTCACAGAGAATAATCAACATATCAGCTGTGATAAAGTTTAGCACCCACTAGAACGGGAGGATTGTATTTTTGACTTGATTGTTCCATCTCCAAATCAAATCCAAATACCCCCTAAAAAAATAAACCTTAAAACATTTAATGCAGAAGGCAGTACAACTGAAACTTTTCCAACATTTTGTTCTTTCAGAAAACGTTCAGAACATTAAAAAATGATACTAATAAAACCGAGCAAACAGTCTCTGTGAGATCCCAACGGGTGGGCGAACATGGATTTTCAGCGAAGCTGGGAGATGACAACGTGGTGTGTTGATCAGTGTTGGGAAACTCATGTGCAGGTGTTTCACACAGATTTGAATACCCTGTGAAAAAAAACAATGCTTGCTTATAGAGGGATGTTTCAGTTTATGTGACTATTTCCTTCAGGAAACGAGTCGTTTTTCCTCAACTACCTTTGCTATACTTCCTGTTTGTCTTCATTACAATTTCCCTCCTGTTTGAGCGAGTCTCCCTCACTAGATGTTTCCTCCACTTGGGCCAACATGTCAGCCATCAAAGCCTCTTCCAGTCGCTTCCGAACACTGTACACCAGCTCCTCTTGCTTTCTGTGACCAAAACATTATTTACATCAATATCCAACACATACATTTGTCATATAAAATATGACACCATGCATCATTCAAAAGGCTGAAATACCTGATATCCTCATCTGTGACGATGAAGGCCTTACAGAGAGGCTGAGCCGTGTTGAGCCAGACTCCCGGGTTCTTCTCCACAGCGGCGGACAGTTGGCCAGTGATGGGAGCCGCACTGGTGTGAAGGGCACTGGCAATCGCTGACAACAGGGTCTTATCTGTGCATCCAGGGCCTACACCTTCAGTGACGTATGAAATATTATAGAATTAATTCATTTTAGTCGCATCTATTGATAAAAACCTCTATTTGACTACTTTATTCGGAAAAAAAAAAAAAAACTGAGCACTGTCTAACACTTGATGGCTGCTCTGTCAAGTCCTCGTCGTCAGTTAGGAATCTGGGTGTGCTCTTTCATACCATTCTTTCATTTGAAAGCCACATTTCTAGCATCTGTAAAACCACATTCTTCCATTTTAAACAAAATATCAGTGACAAGAGCAGAAATGTTAGTTCATGCGTTCATGACCTCAAGGCTAGATTATTGTAATGCTCTACTGGGTGGTTGCCCTGCACGCTTAATAAACAAACTCCAGCTAGACCAAAATGCAGCAGCTCGAGTTCTTACCAGAACCAGGAAGTATGACCATATTAGCCCGGTTCTGTCAACACTGTTTTGGCTCCCGATTAAACATCATCATATATTTAAAAACATTGCTAATTACTTGCAAAGCACTAAATGGTTTAACTCCTCAATACTTGAGCCAGCTCGAAACGTCCTTCACATCTATTGCGATCTAAAAAAAAAAAAGGCCAGTTGATAATACCTAGAATATCAAAATTAGCTGCAGGCAGTAAATCCTTTTCCTATTTAGCACCCAAACTCTAGAACAGACTTCCTAGCCTTGTTTGGGAAGCAGACTTTCAGACTAAAAACACATCTCTCTAACCTGGCAGACAAATAACACATTATCAATTTCTATCATTTAACTCTATGGTCTGTTAAAGTATTGTTAGGCCGCATAAAATAGGTCAACCGGAACCGGGAACACTTCCCTTAACACCCGATGTACTTTTTTACATCGTAAGAAGAATTGCATCCATGCTAATATTAGTCTCTCTGTTAATCCAGAGGTTACCGTAGTCAGCCGTATCCGGTCCGTATCCAGATCAGATGGTGAACCTGCACCCTAAGACGACCACAATGGTCCTGAATGTCAGCGGAGACCCCGTCTACTAGACAATCCCCTGTGAAGACCTTGTCGGCACGACAGCCGTCTACACAGATCCTCAGCAGAGACCACAAGAACCAGGCCCTATGACCAGTTTCGGTTCCATACTGGCTGATGAATCCCATCTTCAAGCAAAAGGAAATATTTGAATGCTACCGATCCACTGTCTGATTTCTGATTTGTGATGCAGCCTAAATCCTAATCACACCATGTTCATAAGTTGGCCAGAGGAGAACTGAGCCTGGTTTCTCCATTCTGTCACTGGATGGAGTTTACGTTCTTTGCCACTGTCGCCTCTGGCTTGCTTAGTTGGGGACACTTAATATTCAACAATATTATTGATCTGACTGGACTGACGCTGTTGTATGAGATCTGAACTGAGCTGGATGATGACATCACTGTTGAACTTCTTCATAGATTAAATGAACTAATTTTTAATAATTGATGATGTTTATAATGGAACTGAATCAATACTGAACTGACTTCAGCTGAACAATGACACTATTTTATTTTTAGAGCTGCTTTACGAAATGAACTCTGTTTGCAAGACACGTCACATTTATTTATATAGCACTTTATACAATACAGATTGCTTCAAAGCAGCTTTACAGTTACAACAGGAAAATACTGCATTTCGGCTGTGGTTCAACTGAAGTAGGTTCAGTGTTGATTCAGTTCTGTTGTAAACATCATCAATTATTAAACTAAATAAACTTTTTTATTAGGCTTAACATTCTATTCAACTGTTTTGTGTGTCAACTCAACTCTGATAATATTCAAAATGTTTCTTCCCCTGGCCTTGATTGTGCTCACCTGTTTCATGTTAGAGCACTATAATTCTTGAGTGTAAATATCCCTGGCTGCATCCAAAATCACATACTTCCCAACTTTATAGTAGGCGAAAAACAGTATGTGACAAAAGAAGTATGTCCGAATTTACAGTACTCATTAAATGGAACCCGGATGACTTACTACTTCCGTCGAGATTGTGAAGTGTGCATACGATGGACATATTCTTATTAAAATAAACAAACTTGGATTAAGTTTGTTAGACATACCTTGTAAGCCTTTGGGGAGATCCATTGTTTTCACCAGCTCCTCTGCTATGTCAAAGGCATTGAGGCCACCCAACTTCTTCTCCCAGAAAAGCTGTCAATGAAAGTTAAATTAGCATTGTGCCACTATGAAAAACTACTAATAGTGGTGAATAAAACCTGAGAATTTAGGTCACGTTTACACAACAATGATGTACTAAAAACAGTTTTCCTTTGTGTTTTTCACGTACAGAAAACAACATTATCAAAATGACACGGAGACGCGAAAACGAATATTCATGCCAGGCCAGTAGATGGCGACGTCACTTTGCAAAGGAACACTACGTGTTTATAGACTGAACATCAAGTTTCAAAGACAATACATTTCAAACCATAAATTTTGCGTTTTCAGGCCCCCAAAACGTCTAAATGAACAGTTTTTAGTTAGAAAAATACCCCTAGATTAGTATTACCTGTCTGGGCTGGTCAATGGCCTTCTGTGGGTCTGTCTTAACCTTATTGCTGGGGTGGTTGGTAACTTTTGTGACGGGCTGTTTGAAGATGGAGGCTGTCTGTCGTACTGGGAGGGATGTATTCAGGTCGGGTTTGCCCTAACAAAGAGGGAACATTCTTGATTACCTTGATGAAAAAATGGGAATTGCTGATCTGTTTCTGGTTATTGTTGCAGGTAGACCAGCTTGACCAGTAAAACTGGCTTGAAATTGGTTTTAAAGGGTCACTAGCCATGCAGAGATCATTTCTCTGCAGCTATAAATCTAGAATGATGAATGTGTTTTTATGAATATGAAAATGTTTCCTCATTGTTGATGAACATCCTCTCACCTTAGTCTGGCTATTGTTGTCATACCGGGGTCTCTGTCTGTTCTTGTTCAGTTTGCTCATGAGCATCTTGCCCGTGCGGAAATCAAAGGAGCTGAGATCCATGGAGTTGCCAAGGTAACGAGCCAATTGAGGCTTGCTCCGGAACTTCTTCCCAGTGGGGCTGGGGAAGTGGAGCAAAATAGGACATATCTCAGAGATTTGATAAACCCGTGCATGGATGCAAATTTGGAAAGAGAATGAGTTATGGTGACGGTAGTTGCAAACGGATATATCACACACGATATTCACAAACAATGACATGCAATGCCTAACTTGAAGCACATTTTTAAATATCCCAAGCCTGTGATGACAAAATGACAATGTTATTAGATCATGAATACTGTGAAGAACTCTTTCTGTTACTTGACATTGTCTATCATGATGGCAATTAAAATCACATTCAAAATGCGATTGTAATGCTTAAAACACATTTGAACTTATAGGAAGAAGTTTAAAATTGTAATGCAAACCCCCTAGGGCTGGGCAATGATTAATCGCGATTAATCACATCCAAAATAAAAGTTTGTGTTTACATAATATATGTGTGTGTGTAGTGTGTATAATTATTTTGCATATATAAATACACACACATGCATGTTTTTAAGACATATAAATAATATAAATAAATATAAATATTAATAATTTATATATTAATAATACATTTTTTTAAATATATACATGCACGTGTGTGAATTTTTATATACAAAATAATTATGCAGAGTACACACACATATATTATTCTATCCCTCACAGCCTTGTTTTTTTTATTGCTGTCAAATATTAAATATGGCGCTACCATGATTAAGGTCTATAGAACATTTAAACTTAATTAACTTTCTTAAAAATGAAGTATGATACAGTCTGTGGCGTGCTGTGTCTAGAGTTTTCCTTGTCAGCTGTCCTTGTCAATCTACTCTGCCAAATGTTCACATTTGTTTCACATAGTTTGAGATAATAGTAATACTGTTTGTCTAGATCTAGTTCATTCTTCACTTGAACAGTTGCACTTCTGCATCTGAAACAAACCCTTGCACAGCCCTTTAAATCACGATTCTGTAGTAGAAGTTAGTTGACACAGGTGTGATGCAAAAATGAGTTCACTGAATATTCAGTATGATGATACCATGAAGATTTCGTGCTTGTTTCAAGGTCATGCACAAATATGGACAAACTTTTTTGGGGGCTCTTTAAGCTTGTCAAGGTCGTGCAAACATGTAACAACATAGATGTTTTTTAATTGATTAAATAATACGATACCACAAACTATACAAACGACCTGCCTCCCCCCTCTCTCGCCTCTGTTCTTCCTCCTCTTCCTCACCTCTGCTAAAAAAAGAACAGTCATGTCTATTTGTGACATGTCGTTGATTGGGAATCCTTGGAAAATGTGTTTATCCAGACTAAACACAATTTCACAGTTAAAACCAATGGAATGGAGATCCAAATGAATCATTCTTTATAACTGGTTCTTCTGAATGGTTCTACCAGAACCCACTTTGTTAGGTGGGTGAATCATTATCATACAAAAAGCAAATTTCACACATTTCTTCAATCCAGTTAACAAATGTGGCAAAAAACAATTTAAGTGTTATTTGGAGTGACAACATCAAACTGGAATGCAAACAAACGTAAAACTTCTCAGTAGCACTTTATTTTTACAGTCCTGTTCCCCATGTAAATACTATATTGTAGTTATTATAAAAATAACTGGGTAATAACTCGGCTAGGTACTAACCCTGAACCTATACCTAAACCTTACCTTAACCCATATTAGTAATCAATTAATTTCAATTAAAATTCTTTCAAATGTCAGTGAAACAACTTTATTAAAATAATTCTTAATGGGTAAACCGTTTCTTTTACTTGTTTCAAAGAAAACAAGAATATTTATAAGCATTTGTGTTGTATAAATAGTGCGAGTAGTGTGAAAATTACAGTGTGCACTTCAAATGCCGGGATGACATAATTAATCGAAAAAACTAATTGTAAAATGTTGGACACCTCACGCACTCATCTGTCGCAGCTTTCTTGTGTAGTGGATTGAAAAGGGTTATCGGATTGGGGCCATCAAAACTGGATGACAACCTTATAAAATTCATACACTACAATGTTGAGTACATAGTATACAGTGAGTCATTTGGGACACAGTTTCTGTAATGTGCATTCATCACAAACACATTTAGTGCAACCTGTAATAGTTTTTGAACAGGGCAAACTGAATTGTGGTACACAAAAAAAACCCCAGCCATTTCAATTTGGATGCGATACACATGCTAAATTGACATGTACCCCCACGCCCTCCTGAAATAAAGCACACAAAATCCTCTCCACAGCTGGGCCTACTTTTACATGACAATCCCCCCTCTGTACTCAGTCCGTAACATAACACACATGGCTTCGAGCACTCCCACTTTTTACACACTCTGATGTCGGCAGAGTCTGCTTCCCCTGACATGCTGATTATCTAACGTGTTTTTAATCAAATATACTTACAAATGACGACCAATCTACAGTAATACAGTGTCTACATTCAATAATGTTGCTTTGTCACTTAGCAAAACGTTGCGCCGTATCGTAGCCTCATCACTTTGGGATCTTCTCAATGAAGGATTCCTCCGCTTGGAAATTAGGCTATATACTTATGAAGTATGAATCATACAGATTACATATTTGATGTACTGTCCCTCGCAAAACAATATGCGTATTTGTGTTGTAGACAATGCTGCAATTCAGGCATCTCTTCGTTATAGTACCACACAGTATAATATGTAAGAATTGTGAGTAAAGTCGATATATTGTGAATGTAAACAAAGCCAGTAAAACAGACATTAGCACAATTTTTTTTGTCAAGTGACTGAATGAAATAGTAACTACGGGTTGGTAAAAAACGACGCGTCTTACGAACATTGATGACAATCGCGGGACGAAAAAAGATGCTGCACCTGGTCCGTTAAAACAACGTCAATATACACTTTATTAGCAAGACCTGCCATTTCCACTTTAAGACAAATACTGCATTTTATATGTGCACACATCAGTACAGGTCGCTTTGTTACCCTATTACATAGTTTTATCAAATGCTAAACCCGTTTTCTTTCTTTAAATCGTCGCCGCTTGAAAGGACTGCGCAAACTAGTAGCCCAGACTGATCTATTCAAATGAACAAAAGCGATCGCTTTGCTCGTAAAACAGCATGACGATAAATGCAGATATGCGGGGTCGCGATTTTATACGTTTTCGACATTAAATAGGTTATACTTACTCATTTTTCTCCATCGCGCATTCTCTGTTGGTGTCGCCTTTTTGTGAATGTTAAATCCCCCTCTCTCTTCCTCTATACTTTCACTCCCCTCCCCCTTCAATGAGACAAATGAAAGACATTATGCCCGATTAGGGCTGACTTAACGAGACAAAGCCCTGCGGTAGTCGGGTAGCTAACCATAAACCACATGATATGACAATATAATGCACTGTTTTGTTTTCAAGTTAATATTTGTTATGTTTGATGAAATATACAGTAGAAGTAGAATGAGTATAACATACTCATTCTACTACTGCAGGTCCCTCGCTTTACGTGTGTGCTGTGAATCAGCTTTTTGTTTGTCGATTACAAATATACCACAGCAGTTTACCATGGCCATAATGTTAATCATATTTTAAAAATGCGGTTGTTCTTCAAAACATGTAAGATTTTACATTCGTATTTATTTTACAGTATCGTTCACTATTAAAATTCCCGGTTTATTGCGCGAGACGAGTCCTGGATTTTAAGTCCTGCAGGAAATCCCCCCTTCAAAAAATAAATAAATAAATAAAATGATCACGAAAATCCCGTGGGATTGTGCTGGAGTGTGCAGGTTCAGCGGGACTTTTCTTTTGAGGATCTCGGGAGAAGTCTTAAGGGCTTTTTTGGCGGAAACTATGGTTACCATGGTAACATTATGAATGGGCATGAAAGCAAAGGCCTCCTCCAAAGTCTTAAATAAATGGGGGGTGGGGGGAGTTTAAAATGCAATCTAGTTTACAAATAATTAAGAAGTAGAATATCAGATAAAACTATCACATTTACATGGAAGCCCACGGATTA